CGCGACGGACAGAGGGAGGAGGAGACTGAGGAGGAGGAGAAGACCAGACCGCCGGACGGTCGTCAGGAGGAGGCAACGGAGGAACAAACACAGGAAGAGACTGGGAGCGGACAGGAGGAGAGGAGGAAAGGCCAAGGGCCCGCAGGCCACTCACAGATGGGAACAACCGCCGCTCTAGAGGAAGCTGCGGTGGCGGCTGCGGCTGCGGCTGCTGCTGCTGCTGCGGCTGTGGCTGCGGCTGCGGCTGCGGCTGCTGCTGCTGCTGCTGCTGCTGCTGCTGCTGCTGCTGCTGCTGCTGCTGCTGCTGCTGCTGCTGCCGCTGCTGCTCCAGAAGGTCCAGCACCCGCAGCTCCTGCCGCTCCCTCTCCAACCGCTCCTGCTCCTCACGCTCACGCCGACGGGCAGCCTGGAGACGCGTGTCGTGGCGGTGGGGGGGCGGGGTGGACTCCGCAGAACCAGGGTCTCCAGCGTCAGTCTCCTCAGACTCAGCACCCCCAGAATCAGTACCGCCAGTGCCAGGACCTCCAACTCCAGCACCCCCAGAACTAGCACCGCTAGTGCCAGCACCCCCAACTCCAGCACCCCCAGAACCAGCGTCACCTGCGCCAGCACCTCCAGCTCCAGTACCCCGCGACCGAGCACCCCCAGACCGAGCACCGCCAGTGGCTGCACCTCCAGCTCCAACACCAACCGAGTCCACAGTAACCTGTCGCGGAAGTGCCGAAGGCTGCTGAGGGGACTGTGAGGAGGACTGCGGGGAGGGAGACGCTACCTGACGCGCGACCGAGGGGAGAGGGGTAGCGTGGGACACACCAGACGGGGCAGGACCAGGGGGGGGCGGGGGTACCGGAGGAGCGGGAGCAGGAGGAGGAGAGGGTGCGAGGAAGAGAGGGGGAAGGGGTACCGGGAGACCTCGACAGGGTTACCGGGTGTAGTAGGACACGGACTCGTCAAACCGGACGTCACGGAAATCTAGGAACTGGTGGAGGGGAGGGTGGTAAAAGGACCAGTCAGCAGAGTCCACTGGGAAACCAAGGAAGACACAGGGGACGGCGCGTGCCGAGAGCTTGTCCGCGGAGGTGTCGCGAACAAGTGCAAGGCAGCCCCAGACTCGAAAGGCCGACCCAACACCAGGGGATCCAGTCCAGAGACTGGTCGGTGAAGCCTCGGGCCGCGAGACACGCGGCTGGAGGTTCAGCTGGTGTGCGGCGTAGCGAACCGCGTGAGGCCACAGAAAATGGGGCGCACGGGCATGAATCATGGACGTGCGGGCGATGTCCATGACCAAGCCTATGCGGCGCTCAGCAACCCCATTCTGCTGTGGGGACTCTGGCAGCGTCCAGGACTGGGTGATGCCCTGTTCGCCGCAGAATCCGCCGAGAATGCCGGAGCGAAACTCGCCCCCACGGTCGGAGTGAAGACAACTGACTCGACGACCACGAGTGCCCTCAGTGGCTAGAAGCCACCTGATCAGCGTAGTAGTCACCTCGGACTTCTTCGCAAGAGGAAACACTGTGGTGTACCTGGAGAAGTCGTCGACGACCACCAGAAAGTAGCGCTCCCTCCCAGACCCCTGCGTCGGGGCAGGGCCCCAGACGTCCAAGTGGAGAGTCTCGAAGGGAGCGGTGGCCGGACGAAGGGAGGAGGAGTGGGGAGTGGCACGTAAGCGACCGGCGACGCACGGAGAGCAAGGAGGGGCAAGCGAGGGAGGGAGCGACGGGAAGGTGCGTGGGAGACCTGTGACTAGTCCCTGACTGAGCATGCCACGAAGGCGAGGGATCGACGGGTGGCCAAGACGGTGGTGCCACAGGACGGTGCGGTGGGCGAGAGAGCGACAGGAGCAAGACGCAGCGACTGGACTGGACACAGCGACCAGACTGGACACAGCCACCTGACCGGACTCTGCTACCGGGGGGGACGAAGCAACCTGACCAGACGCAGCTACCTGCGGGGGCGGAGTGTGCAGGACGAAGAGACCTGAGTGGGGCTCTCTGGTGAACGTGGCAAGAACTGCCCCGGTGGAAGAGTCCGTACAGATCCCAGTCCTCCCGTGCGCAGGAAAAGTGACTGTGATCCCCCGGTCCTGAAGGTATCCAACACCCACCAAGTTCCGAGAGAACGAGGGGATGTAGAGACCAGTGAGGAAACCAGAGGGGACAGCCGGGCACGGGAGGGTGGTCGAGCTACGAGCAACTGCTGGTCCTGAAGTAGGATCAGCCAGGGCAACTGGGACTGGAGCCGAAAGAGGTGTGACAGTGGTGTGGTCGCGGAAGAAACACTGAGACGCGCCGGAGTCCAGCGTGAAGGAGAGCGACGCAACAGCAGTCGTCACGGCTGGGCTAGTGACTACACAAGCACCTACACTAAAAGCACAAGTACCGACACTAGCAACAGGCAAAGGTCCTAAGCTAGGTACACGTAAGCCAAGAGATCCGTACGTGACAGAATAAACAGCATCCATAGACATATCAAACACAGGGAAACCACTACGAAACAGACCGGGCCAGATCGGGGGAGCCGACTCAGGCCCAAAACGCTCACGGTAAAGGTCGTCGAGGCGGCTGTAGCAGCGCTGTGCAGAGTGGTCAGGACGCCAGCAGGTAGTGCCAGCACCAGGGCCGGTCAGGATCCGGTACTGGCAGGGGCCGACGTCGCGGCCACCGCGACGAGCCCCCCAGCTGGCTGGGCCGCTGCTGCAGCCAACGCGACCTGAACCACCAGGCCCCCATGGCTGCTGAGGGCGCCACAGCTGCTGAGGGCGCCCCTGCCGATGCGGAAGCCACTGCTGAAAAGGCCGCTGCTGCTGTCCCTGCTGCTGGAGAACTCTAGTGGACTCCATGATAAAAGCTAGCGGGGTGCAGGAGCGGCAGGCTAGGAGCGACAGGAGCGACAGGCTGCTGTGAAAAACGAGAACAACTAGGAGCGCAAGGTGAAACCAGGCGAGTAACTGCTGGAGCACGGAGCGAACTAAGCTAGGAGCGCCAGGTGAAACCAGGCGAGTAACTGCTGGAGCACGGAGCGAACTAAGCTAGGAGCGCCAGGTGAAACCAGGCGAGTAACTGCTGGAGCACGGAGCGAACTAAGCTAGGAGCGCCAGGTGAAACTAGGCGAGGAACGGCTGGAGCACGAAGCAAACTGAGCTAGAAGCGCCAGGTGAAACTAGGCGAGGAACGGCCGGAGCACGGAGCAAACTGAGCTACGAGCGAGGAGCGAGAACGGCTGGAGCGAGAACGGCTGGAGCTAGAAGCGGCGAGCTAGGGCTGGCTGGAGGTAGGAACGGCCGGGGCTAGAGACCGTAAGTGCGGCTGTCGGCTGCCGCTAGTAGAGCCACTGGCAGTGGAAAGTACGTGCGACAGTAGGGGCTGCAGTACTGACAGCTGCGGGATGTAGGCAACTGTGCAGGTCGTCCGGCAAGCAGGAACGCGGGCGACAGTCGCAGGCCCCCACTGTGAACCCCTTTTTTTTTTTTTTTTTTTTTTTTTTTTTAGGGTTTAATTTATTTATTTATTTTCTGGCACTAAAGCACCCCGGGGGGCGCTGCCTGCAGGTGTGCTGCCTGCGGGGCGCGCTACCCGCGGGGCGCGCCTCCTGCGGGGCGCGCTACCCGCGGGGCGCGCTACCCGCGTGGCGCGCTGCCTGCGGGGCTGGGGTGACGAGCCAGGGAGGGCGCCTGGGCGACGGGCTAGGACGGGCGCCTGGGCGACGGGCTAGGACGGGCGCCTGGGCGACGGGCTAGGGCGCAGGCCTGGGCGACGGGCTAGGACGGGCGCCTGGGCGACGGGCTAGGGCGCAGGCCTGGGCGACGGGCTAGGGCGGGCGCCTGGGCGACGGGCTAGGGCGGGCGCCTGGGCGACGGGCTGGGGCGGGCGCCTGGGCGACGGGCTGGGGTGGGCGCCTGGGCGACGGGCTGGGGCGGGCGCCTGGGCGACGGGCTGGGGTGGGCGCCTGGGCGACGGGCTAGGGCGGGCGCCTGGGCGACGGGCTAGGGCGGGCGCCTGGGCGACGGGCTAGGGCGGGCGCCTGGGCGACGGGCTAGGGCGTGGGCCTGGGCGACGGGCTAGGGGCGCAGGCTAGGGTCGCGGAGGGCGCTAACGCGCGGAGGAGGAGGGCGCTAAGGCGCGGAGATGGCGCGGAGGGCGCGGTGGCTAAGGCGCGGAGGGCGCGGAGGGCGCGGAGGGCGCGGAGGGCGCGGAGGGCGCGGAGGGCGCGGAGGGCGCGGAGGGTGCTAGGGCGCAAGGGCGCGGAGGGCGCGGAGGGTGCTAGGGCGCAAGGGCGCGGAGGGCGCTAGGGCGCGAGCTAGGCTAGGCTAGGCGAGAGGATCGACACCTACTCATGATACCATCTCAAAGTTAGCGAACAACGGAATGATTGGAATAGAAACGAATGGGGTACAAATGAGCAACCCTAGAAGCTGTACCCCCTAGAGTGCAACTCACTATAGCCTATCATATCCATGTTCAACATTTGACAGCCCACCCCATTGTGCATGCTGTTATGTAGACTTGTATACGACGAGAACGATGTACTAGAACCCATATGAAATGATAACGCTGCCTTTGCCAGTCAGCCTAAGTAGACTTTCACAATGCGTCTGAGTTTGAGGGCTTTAGAGCGTGTTCCTACGGCCTCATATCAGGCAACCTCGTATCAGATTCGCGTCGAACCGCACTAAAACGCATCCGAACACAGTCGAAGACACTGAAACGTATTTCACCACGCGAAGCTGATACGAGGTGTGTCTGATACAGTACGAGGTGTAGGAACACGCTCAAATTTAAACATCAAGATCAAGTAAACACATCAGTTTCATGCCAATAGACAGGTGAAATCTAGGTTGAATGAGGCACCGTCAAATGTAATAATCAAGATCAAAGAGCATAGAACTTCCAACAATGCCACCAGCCAGGTGGAGGAAAATTACTTCAAATAATTGAGATAGCTACAATGGTGCGATGTATATCCTATGCTCAGTGAGCTTTGATTGACAGGAAACCCTGCATTTACTTCTTCCAGAAGGGCTTCTGCTCACACAATACAAAAAAACCGCAATCCAGATAACTTAGTCACGTATTGTGACGTGAAAAAAGAAAAACCACATAGAACACGAATGGAGGACGAAAGACGACATCATACATGAGACTTACAGCCTCTTTCGTCTCTTTCGTCTTCTTCGAAGTCTTGGACTGCGTCCCAGGCCTGGAACCCTTACCCTCCCTAATGCTCACGAGGGCTGCACAACAAAAGCGGAAGTTGATGACGAAGTAAAGAAACGAGACGCGATAAGCAAACGCCGGAAAATCATCATGAGGGTATTGATGTTTTGTCAGCCATACCAAAATCAGAGATTGACGTTCTACAAAGAAAAATATTGCTGAAAGAAATCTCAAGACGATGCGCTAACACAACCAAAGCCAAATGCACCTCGCATTGAACGTGAAAGTTAGACGAAAAAAAAAGAGCTTCATGCACTCCGACGTACTCGAGTCAGTCTCGGTCCACGACACCTGCTTCACGGTGGCGTTGTCGAGCCAGTCCAGGAAGGAACCCTCCTCCTTGCCCTTGGCCGCCAGGACCATAGGGGTCATGCTCATGGAGATAGCGGCCATGGCGGCACGTGGGGGTGGGCTGAGGTGGATGGATGTGAAGAGAGGAAGAAGGCGGTTCTGGATCAGGGAACCACAAGCAGGCTGCAAAGGAAAAATGGGGGAGGAATGGAGGTGATGGAGGTGGCTGAGGTGTGGGGTGGGGGGGGCTGTGGAAAGGGCTGTGTGGGGTGGGGAATCCGTCCGTGGAGGGGTGTGGCGGAACCAGGGGGGATGAGAGTGGCTGTTACCAGAAATTGACGAGGTTCTTGCGGTGGCGAAATCGACAGCTCGAACACGTCAGCCAGACGAACCAGCCTGAGCATTGTATCGGAGTAACATGAAAAGATACACTCGATGCCACGTCATACCAGATCTGACTTCGTGCCACCTTGGCTGGATAGGTTCCAGCCACAAGTGCCGTCGAATCAGCAAAGACAAATTTATCCAAATCAAGGTGTGTTGTACCTACTCCGTTCCAGGTACAATCACGAGCTTCCGTGGCTTGCGACAAGGATGGGAGGTGTGGAGTCGATATAATAAGTCTGTTAAGGGTGTGTGGTTCGTTACACTTGGATCAGCAAGTTCGGATTGATATCACACAAGGTAAACATAGCCGTGAAATTGACTATCATGATATTATCAGCTAACATTGAAGCCATTGTGAGGAAGACAAGAAAGTTAGCACCTGCACAACCTCACTCATAATCGGCCTCTTAAACGGGTCATTCACCAGGCACCATCTCGCCAGCTCCGCCACCTTCGCAGCTGCTTGCTTGGGGTACTTATCCCCGAGTCTAGGATCCATAATCCTCGACAAATCCGCACTATTATGTAGGTACGGCCGCGCAAACTGAACTATATTGACTTCCGGTGGCGGTCGGCGTTGATCGATGGAGGGCCGCCCTGTGAGCAGCTCTAGAAGAACGACTCCAAACGCCCACACGTCATTCTTCGGTGTTAGACGGCCTGTCATCATGTACTCAGGAGCTGCATACCCTGCCGTGCCGCGCACCTGGTTGGTTGGGAAACGGAACAGGAACAGCAGGGGACGGTCTCAACCGGCCGCAATGCCAGTATGGAAGGGCACCCTTGAGGACCAAAGAGAAAAAAACTCACAACAGAGTCGACACTTGAGTCACACCATCAGAACCAGAAAGAAAATAGGTGACCGCCTTAACAAACTGCAGTGCTAGAAAATGGAGCTTAATATCTGAGCAAGAGCATACTTCGAATACAGCACCACAGGCAGAGTCACTTGGCACAACCCTCACCTGCGTGTCGACACGTGTGTCTCCTCCCCCATGGGCCCTTCCCTTGCCAGCCCCAATTCAGACAGCTTCGGGCAGAAATCGGCTACAAAAGGCAAACCGAGTATTGAAGCGGCTCAAGACTCAACGCAACCCTCACCTGCGTTGACACGTGTGTCTCATCCCCCATGGGCCCTTCCCTTGCCAGCCCGAAGTCAGAGAGCTTCGGGCAAAAGTCCGCGTCTAGAAGCACATTGGATGTCTTGAAATCACGGTAGATAATCTGCGGAGGGTGTGAGAGAAGTGGGAGAAAGGAGAGGAAGAAGGGGTGGACGGAGGAGGTAAAAAAAACAAGGGACAAGGGACAAGACAAGCAGGCGAGACTGAAAGGTGAAAACAAATGGGACGGAAATATGAAAGTTGGAAGAGTCAAAACGGATCAGCAGCAGACAAGCAGAGGACCAGCCACAAGAGTAGCGCACCCAATGCAGGTACGTGCACCTCCTCCTGCAGGTGACTCTCGATCGAGGCACCTAGAATAAAATTTCAAACTCCTCTCACACCCACGGCACGGCACGGCACACTCACCGGGACCTGCACCTCCTCATGCAGGTGAGCCAGCCCTCTGGCCGTCCCCAGTGCCATCTTCAGTCTCATGATTGCACACAGCACAGAGCAGCATGTAGGACAGAGCAAGTGCGACACCCCTTCAACCCCCAAGCACTCACCGGGATCTGCACCTCCTCATGCAGGTGAGCCAGCCCCCTCGCCGTCCCCAGAGCCACCTTGAGCCGCGTCGCCCAGTCCAGCGGCGGCAGCACCGCCGCTGCCGCCGCCGCCGCTTTTTTCGACGAGTGGGAGTGGGAGTGGGAGGAGTGCGACGAGGTGGAAGCGGACGATGCGTGCACATTGTGATTGTGACTGCTGCTGTTACGGTGGTGGTGGCTGTTAGCGTTGTTAGTAGCCGCAGCAGCAGCGGCAGTGGTGGAGAGCGGTGCAAAGAGGTGCCGGTCCAGGGAGGAGTTGGGGAGGAATTCGTAGACGAGCAGGCGGCGGTGGCCCTCGGCACAGAAGCCAAGCAGCTTGACGAGGTTGGGGTGGTCGATCAGGCCGAGTAGTCACACCTCCACCATCCACTCCTTATGACCCTGATGAGATGATGCAGAGGGAAACGAGACGAGAGGGAGGGAAGAAAACAAGAAAAGGGAAGAGAAAACGGGGAGGATGAAAGAGGAAAGAAGGAGCAATGAGGGAGTGGGAGGCAGAGAGCAGGCGGCGGTGGCCCTCGGCACAGAAGCCAAGCAGCTTGACGAGGTTGGGGTGGTCGATTAGGCCGAGCAGTCTCACCTCCACCATCCACTCCTTATGACCCTGCAGTGGTGAGTGATGCAGAGGCAGAGGGACGAGAGAGGGCAGTGAGTGAATGGAAGGCAGAGGGAAGAGAGAAGGAGGCACTCGGCACAGAAACCGAGGAGCTTGACGAGGTTGGGGTGGTCTATAAGGCCGAGCAGGTGCACTTCCACCACCACTCCTTGTGACCCTGAGATGCAGGTGGGGCAGAGGCAGGGCGAAGAGAGAGGGGAATGAGTGAATGAAAGGCATAGGGGAGAGAGAAGGTGGCCCTCGGCACAGAAGCCAAGCAGCTTGACGAGGTTGGGGTGGTCGATAAGGCCTAGAAGAGCACCTCCACCATCCACTCCTTGTGACCCTGATGAGATGATGCAGAAACAACGAGATGTGGAAACATCCTAGTACGATTGTGACATGGAGGGTCATGGAACTGCTTTTAATGTCTGAGTTGTTATGTACGTTCCAGTTGTCAAAACACATGGTGCAAGGGGAAGGAAGGAATAGGGAAGGAAGGGAGGATATCGAACAAAGAGGGAAGAGGGGATGGGGGAGGAAGGGGGGATGGGGGAGGAAGAGGGGATGGGGGAGGAAGGGGGCATGGGGGAGATAGAGGGGATGGGGGAGGAAGGGGGGATGGGGGAGGAAGGGGGGATGGGGGAGGAAGGGGGGATGGGGGAGGAAGAGCGGATGGGGGAGGGAGGGGGGATGGGGGAGGAAGAGGGGATGGGGGAGGGAGAGGGGTTGGGGGAGGGAGAAGGGTTGGGGAGCAAGAGCGGATAGGGGAGCAAGAGGGGATAGGGGAGCAAGAGCAAGAGGGGATGGAGCAACAGAGCAATTGAGAAGAAAGGGATAATGGTGATGGGAGGAACCTGGTTGGACGTGGTAGTAAGAAGGGTGAATGAAGGTGATAGTAACAATTTGATGATGAAGGTGGGAAAAAAATCCTTCTTGGCGTGATTTACAAAATCTTGCTACTTAGCGCTCCGCGCTTCACCCCCTACTTTAGGATTCATCTCCTTCATATCTCTTACCTGAAAAGTTGTAAAAAAATGTTTTCTCGCCCACGGGCCCTGCGTTCCTACCCTTTTCTTTTTTTATTTTCTTTTTCTTTCTCTTTTTCTGACTTGCCGGCTCCCGAAACTTCGTTTCACTGTCACCTGGAAGCCCTTTTTCTTTGTTCTTTCCTCAATTTCACCCGAAGGCCCTTCGATTGACCCTTCTTCTCACCTGAAGGCTTTTCAATTGACCTTGCTTCTCACCTGAAGGCTCTTTGAGTCCAGCTTCTTAATTGCCACCTCTTGCTGCAGCGACCTCCGCCCTTTCCCAACCCCTCCGCCGTTTAACGCCCCCGCAGCAGTGCCCCCCCCTCCCGCGGATCCAGCCGATACACCCGAAACCGCCGCTGCGGCGCTTTCCAGCGCGTTGCCCGCCGCGCTTGCCGCCATGTTTGCCGCTCCCGAACCCTGCGAGCTTCACGGCCTCAATACCCCTTTAAAGACCTTCCCGAACCTGCCGGCTCCTAGAAGCAAATCGCTCGAGAACCCCTTAGTGGCGGATTTTAACTCCGGATAGGAGAACACGCGGAGATCCGATCGCCTAAGAACGTCATCTATTAGCAACATATCGCGCTGCATCGCACGGTCGTGCGGCCGCCGCGGCGTGCTTAAAACGAGGGATTGATCGGCCCCGGTATTGCCATCTACTGCTGCGTCTTGTGTCGCGGACGGCTGATATGCCGCCGAATCTCCCCCTACCTCCGTTGCCTCTGTTGCAGATCCGTTCGCCGCGCCTCCAGGCTTCACGAGAGGCGAGGGCGAGTTCATTTTCTGTGTGATCCGAAGCGCGAACGGATTAACGTTCGACCCGCTAAACATCTGCACCGAGGACCCTCTGCTGCCACCACCGTTACCGCCGCCACCGCCGTTTCCGCCGCTTCCGGCGCCACCGCCGTTTCCGCCGCCGGATCCCTTATTGGTGAAATTGAAATTAAACGACCTGCTGTTAGTAGCACCGCCGCCGCCGCCGCCGCCGAAGCTACCGCCGCCGCCCGTGCTGCCATTCGCATGAACGCTCCCGACCGCTGACGTGCTGTGGCTTCGTCGAACCTGTCTCTGCTGCTGTTGCTGCTGCTGCTGCGACTGCTGGGACTGCTGGCGGGGCGCGTGCGACGACGCTGGGCGAACAGGCGACGGAGAGCCTACTCCGTCGCCGGGCGACGTTCCGTGCGACCCGCCGAGCGGCGACGGCGCGCGCACGCCGCCAGGGCTACCTAACCCTAACCCGCCGTCATAGCTTCTCCGTTGCCTTCGCCCCAACGCGGCACCGTTACCTTCCACGGCTAAATCGTCTTCTATAGACTCCTCCCCGGCTGTTCCGACCGAGCCGCCTCCAACTGACCCTCCTCGCGGCAAAGGCGGGGTCGATGCCCCTGCCACCGACCCTGACTGGCTTCGAGGCACGTTTTGGCGGGGAGAATTGGAGGCTCGGGAAGGGGAATCGCAACACTGCGGTTGGTTGTTATGCGGCTCGGAGGCTTGCCTCTGGAGGAAGCGCGACGCGGCGGATGCTGGGGGAGCTTGGGACGAGGGGGAGCAGGTCAGGTTTTCATCCTCGATACTAGCATCTGCAAGAACTTCACTTAGTGTCGGAGCGATTGGCGCGCGAGGCGAGGAGGTTAGGCTCTGCGGGTGGTGCGTCGGCGAGCCGAGGTAGTTGAAGAAACGGCTTCTGATAGGCGGATGACCCGAGGGAGTGCTACAGGCGGACGTGGGTGCGGAGACTGTTCCGCCTGCCCCGTCATCATCCCGCGCGTTGAATGATCCGCCTAGTCCAAAACACTTCATGAGCGAATTTTTCTGATATGGTAGATTTAAAGTACCGGGAGTGTTGCGTTCAGCTGAAAGGAAACGCGAGGTTACTAGCCCCCCACGTAAGGGAATGTGATAACCTATTAGAGCGACTGTGGGAACAAATAGACCAGACCCCGTTGTGAGGGACTTCAAACTAAATGCTTCGCTTGCATTACCGTACCAAGGAGTCTTACGGCTCGCGGATCCATGCCTGAAGCTATAGGCTGGACTCGAGATAGAAAACCATTAGAAATACTTCAAGCTTCTAGCTTGGGAGTAGCGAGCGAGCCACAGGCAACTCGATTGGGCCTATTCCCAAAGCCCCACCCCAAAAAGCTTGCCGCGATGCGGCTCTGTGTCTATGGCCACAAAGCACAGCCGCACCCACACAACCACAATCTTTGCACTTGGGATTTTGTGAGTTACAGTACAGTACCCTGCTAAATTGTACCGTACCGTACTCCGCTGTCAGTTTTTCGATATTCCACAATTTTGCGAGCCCATGTTCTGTTCTGAGTTCCCCCCTCGTGGAACAATGACCCCCCCCCCCTTGCTGTGGTGCTCCGCGGAACGCAGCTTGGTAATTTCGGGCGGAAGCCCACCCGCTTCGCGCGTGAACCTCCGGAGTCGAGAGGGGGAATGGAAGTGGTGGCGGAACAGATAGCCCCTCACAATGCGCGGGACGTGGGCGGCGGAACAAGCTGATCTGTGGAAAATTCGTGTTTGCGGAAGAGGAATCGGCGGATTGCAGGCAAGGGAGATGGAGTTGAGTTGGGCTCCGGCCCGGGGTTCCCCGTAACCGGAACAGCTCAGACAGTTGGGGCTGACGAGGCGAAGCGCGGGAGATCGTCAAATTTGGACCGTCGGATTCGGAATTGGAGGTGCAAGCAGTCCCAAAGCAATGATACAGTGAAACCATTTTCTGTTAATAGACGACAGAAGAGCCAAGTGGGAATAATCTGCAAAGGCGGACGTGGTTCGATGCTCCCAGCTAAAGCAATAACCGAGGGTATTCACAAACTGACATCAGGGCAGGTTTTCTTCCAGGAATTCACACCGACCAGAACTAGTCGACGCTTGGCAGGGGGTTTGGTGGTTATAAAACCGCTCAGAAAGCCCTCGAAAGTCTTCCACACGATAGTTTCGTGGACACTCTTGTACCGTGCGGCCCGTCCTTCCGTGGCTGCTTTTGACTCGCATTGGAGACTCCTCGAGAGATCGTGAGGCCCAACTCCACGTGATCGAAGTGAAGCCTCATAAGTGATGCAAACATCCTCGCCATTAGCGTACTCATGGACAATCGCATATTATCGAAAAAAACATAAATAACTGACAGCATAAGAAGGAAACACGAACACTCGCTAGCTCCACTTACAACTATTGCAGCAGACCTCTCGTAACTATTCTACTTCAGGCGTTTTGGCGCTCTCTAATTCGCACATGACACAAACTATGCCATGCTAACCGTTCCTAGGAACCCGACCTGCTTCCCGCTGGCATTGTCTAGGCGTGCTAGCCTGCTCGCTTCTCTCGAGCAGGGCAGCCGACACATCGGCAGCATCGTCTGCACGAGTGACCCTTATCAAGCATGCCCACGTAACCCTACCACTATCTGCTCGTCGACCAAGAGATCCAGAGTCCATACGACCAGCAGCACTAGGCGATTCGCCAGCGCACGACTCGCGAACGCCCTTTCTGCGAACGCACGACTTGCGAACGCACGATCAACGATCTCAACAATGGTGTGGGCGAAAGATCCTCAGGGAGGCGAACCGCGTGATCCGGCCGAGCTCGCAGCCTTATCCGCCATCCACACTCTCCAAGAATCCGACAAGCCGGTCCCTAAGCTCGTCGTCTTCGATCTAGACTACACCCTATGGCCCTTCTGGTGCGAATGCCGGAGGAAGAGCGAGACCCCGCGCTTGTATCCTGAAGCTGGTCAGGTTCTATCGGCTCTCGCAGCTGCTGGTATCCCCATTGCCTTCGCGTCGCGTACGCCGACTCCGGACATAGCCCGGGTGTTTTTGGACAAATTAGGGTTTCAAATGGACGACGGCGGCAGCTTCAGCAGCGGACATGGCAGTTCCAGGGCGCACGGGAGCGGAAGGAGCAGCGGCAGAAACAGCAGCAGCGGCAGTGTCGATGGCAATGCGAGCGATCTAAAGCGTGTGGGACGAGCGGCGGAGATCTACCCTAGTATGACCCACAAAACGGAGCATTTCGAGGCGATCCGGAGGCGAACGGGGATCGCGTATCGCGACATGCTGTTCTTTGACGACGAATCCAGGAACACGCGGGAAATCGGATCGCTGGGGGTAACGAGCGTGCTTGTAGACGATGGTATGACTGTAGACACGCTCAAGTATGGGCTGGATCAGTTCGTGAAGAAACACGAGGAGTCTCCCACAAGAAGCCATTAGGTAGCATGGATGTGCTTCAGGGTGCAATCGAGACACTAGAGGCGTCACTTCACTATGTCAGCTGGTGGTCGTGTGAAGCTGGAAGTTGGGGCAGCTGGTATTCAAGATTTGTCCCATACACATGCCATTGAACCTCTTTCTGCATCTCAAGAAGCTGGGCTCATTAATCAAGATCAGAAAACGCTCATTCCATGTGTCTGCATGGCATGGCATGGTATGGCATGGCATACCTTGTTGTATTTATATGGTAGGAGTGCTACTGCCATGGCTGGGCTAACATTTGGAAACCTGGGTATAACCATAACATGGGCCATGGCACTGCAATGCTGATTGTACAGTAGAACTATTTTGTCGATGCCGCTAGCAGAGACTTTTGCTTACCTAGGCAGGCACCTCTTCTTTTTATGCTCCGAGTTGTGACGAATTATCATGAAGCGGCATCTCCAGCCCCTCCGGCGGCCTCAGATACCTCTGCTCTGCACCCCGACGTATGTCTCGATTCGGTTAACAACGGGTGCCACGTCAGCATCGTTTAAAGCCTGCAGCTTGCCGCGGTACTCGTTCCCCACCACGTCTAACAGCTTCAGAAACTGCGAGCGGTACGTCAGGTGCATGCGGTAACCAGCAATCTGCAGGGTAGCAGGCACCTATTCTCCTTTCTATGCTCTGAGTTGGGAAGACTTATCATGCAACGGCATCTCCAACCCCTCAGGCGGCCTCAGATACCTCTGCACGCCAACATACGTCTCGATTCGGTTGACCACAGGCGCCACGTCAGCGTCGTTTAGCTCCTGCAGCTTGCGGCGGTACTCATTCCCCACCACTTAAAGCAGCTTCAGGAATGCGGTAACCAGCAATCTGCCTGGTAGCAGGCACCTGTTCTCCTTTCTATGCTCTGAGTTGGGATGACTTATCATGCAGCGGCATCTCCAGCCCCTCAGGCGGCCTCAGATACCGCTGCACGCCAACATACGTCTCGATTCGGTTAACCACCGGCGCCACGTCAGCATCGTTTAAAGCCTGCAGCTTGCCCCTGTACTCATTCCCCACCACGTCTAGCAGCTTCAGGAACTGCGAGCGGTACGTCAGGTGCATGCGGTAACCAGCAATCTGCAGGGTAGTGGAGAAGGATAGGGTTAGTGGGAATGGGAATGGGACGAGATGCACGCAGAAATATTAGATGCACTCAAGTGTACTTTTATGCTACCAGAGGAAAAACAGATGCTTGTTTTGGATATCGTCATCCAAACGGGAAAGTACAAATAACGCCATCTGTACTGTACACGTACCTTGAGAAAGTCTTCCAAAGCGGTGGCGGATGACTTTTGAGGCGCCTCAAAAGTCTTATTCGAATAACACCATATCATCTGTACATGTACCTTGAGAAATACTTCCAAAGCGGTGGCCGATGCCCGATTGGCTGGAAGGTGGTTCAGCAGCCGAGCACACCACTGCCACGCATGCGACAAGCCAAAGGGGTGCACTGCGGTGCCAGGTGGTGGGAGGGTCTGGCACAGAGGAGAGAGGGGAGTAAAAAATAACTGAGTGTTGAGCTGACTCCTATCCATGAGTTTATTTAGTCATCCACTCTTATAGCATACTCTTGCTAAAAGCATACCTGGCAAATAGCAGCCATGAGAATGATGTATCCTGTCATCCTCTCTATAAACGCATCAGTCGACTCCATCTTCTTCTTCCCACCCTCCATACTCGCTATAAGCATACCTGGCAAATAGCAGCCATGAGAATGATGTATCCTGTCATCCTCTCTATAAACGCATCGGTCGACTCCATCTTCTTCTGCCCACCCTCCCCCTCTTCCTCCCTGTACCCCAAATCGCGGTAATAGGCGTCGTCAGACGAGTAAGAAGCCTGCACAAAAACAGGGAATTTACATATATTATTCAATTTAGACGGATGTTGAAGAAGAAGTCTGCTTCTTCCCGGCTCCCCCGTCTTCCTCCCCATGATCCAACAACAATATAAAAGAATGATGCGCTATAGTGAGTACGAAGAACATACCTCTGAAAAGACATAGTGCTGTGGAACGGTGTAGATGCAGGTCTCGATCACGCTTGCCATCAATGCTTCCATGGCTATGGGCGACCTTTGAGGCGCCTCAGAAGTGAATACAAAGAGCATACCTCTGAAAAGACATAGTGCTGTGGAACGGTGTAGACGCAGGTCTCGTTCAGGCTTGACATCAAGCCTATCTTTGAGGTGCCTCAAAATAGTCAAGTCAAAACCTAGAGCACAGCATACCTCGGAGAAGACATAATGTTGTGGAACAGTGTAGATGCAGGTCTCGTTCAGGCTTGCCATCAAGGCTTCCATGGCTATGGGCGCCTGCAGGCAGAGAGAGCAAAAGAGAGGGGGAGAGAAGAGGAAGACATCTTGGAGAAACTAAAAGCAGTTCAAAAAAAAAAAAAAAAAAAAGAGAGGGAGAGAGAGAGAGAGAGAGTAAAGAAAAGAGACTCTCACCTGAGTGGACACGTTCACTATGAATTGCGCGAGAGCGAACGCAAAAGCGGTAACTTGGTAGCTTGGGATGAAAAAAATGGTTGAAGCATTTAATTGAACCCAGGCAGGACGCCAAGAGCGTACCACCATGACTGACCTGAGTGGACACAGCGACTTGCGCTAGAGCTGGCTTTCGAGTCGACTCCAAGAGTCAGCTCGGAAATCCGCAAAAGCAAATTTTCATAAACGCCAAGAGCATACCACCATGACTCACCTGAGTGGACACGTTCACAATGACTTGCGCGAGAGCGAACGCGAACGGCGGTAACTTGGTAACTTGGGACTCGCACTGGGATAGAATCTGGGAAGCGGTGTATGTACAATGCGTGAAAAGAAGGGAGCGCTCAATGAGTCTCCGTCTGACCAATGAGTCCAATGAAGAATGGGAATTGAATGTTGTCTATTCTTATTGCTTGCAACCAGCGACCCTGGTTTTTTAGGCGCCTCAAGAATGGGTACTGAAATCGGCCCGTATCTGACTGTAGATTCTAATTTAATTGCTTGCAATTGGCGACCCGTCTTTCTTGAATATAAATAGCCATACTTCTTACTTAATTCGTATCAAGAAAGTGAAGTGACAGTGCACCTTGGAGGCGAAGGTGATTGCAACAAACGTCTGGTGAAGGGATGGGATGGGCCCGCAGAAGAGCCGTGAGATGAGATCAGCAGACCTCTTACTTAACTTGTATAAAGAAAGAGAATCGAGCAACGCACCTTGGAGGCAAAGGTGATGGCGACGAACGTCTGGGGAAGGGATGGGTCCCGCAGGAGGGCCGTGAGATCGGCAGACTTCTTGCTGCGTGATTGGTTGCAGAGAAAGGGGAGAAAACAAACCAGTCAAGGCGCACATAATTGAAGAGCACGGACCAGCGAAGGAACAATGGGAGGCGGATGACTAGACACATTTTGTTTCCTTCATTATTGAGGCACCTGATTAACGTGATTACGATATTTAAGAAACGGTGCATTTTGCATGCCAGCCTAGAGGCTAGTCTCCTAGTGCTTTATATAAAAGGAAAAGTAAATCACACACACGCACGCACGCGCGCGCGCGCACACACACACACACACACGCACGCACGCACGCACGCACGCACGCACGCACGCACGCACACACGCGAGCACACAAAAAGAAATAAAGTACATGCGCGTCGGGTCATGGCATATGATCACATCATACCACATCACGCTGACACATGCCAAATTAATTTGGTCATGCCACGTCATGTCAGGTCATCATGCCACGTCATGCCAGGTCATGCCACGCCATGCCAGGTCATGCCACGTCATGTTGGCGATCACACATCACTTCTTACGCGATTTGGTCGTGCGAGGCGGAGATCTGCTGAACCAGCAGAATGATTCGCCGCTCCACAGTCTTGCGGTCCTGCGGTGCGATGCAGTGGAACGGAGTGGGATGCGGTTGGATGCAGTCTATTTCCATGTATGTGATGCAACGAGATCTGGTTTGACGCAAGGAGAACCCAATGCAGCGGGACGAGATCAATCACGGAAACGGTGACTTGCGGTGACATGCGGTGTGATGCAGTATGGTGCGTTGCATTGCGGTGCAACAACAAAGCATGGACAGAGGAGCCCATGCATTCGCTCCGCCCTGTCCTCACCTCACCTTCTCCCAAGCTTTATCAGCCATGAGGAGGGCAATCTCGTCTGTGATGAGCCTATTTTTGAGTCGACTAAAAAAATCAGCCATGAGGAGAGCAATTTTGTCTCGTCGCGCAACGCCTTCAGCGGCGTGAATGCGGTGGGGTACGGTACGGTGCGATGCGGTCCAATGAATTGCATTGCAACGCAACAACAGAGCTAGAACGCCCTCATCTTCGTCCCGTTTGAGAATTCTCAAAAGCATTGTCAGCCATGATGATAGGACCAATCTCATCTCATCTCATCATGCATCGCCTTCAGCCGTGTGAATGCGGGGGGGCTGTGGTCCGATGCATTACGTTGCGAAGCAACATCAGATCAGAGCAAGAACGTTGCTCACCTTCTTCCCTGCATTATCAGCCATGATGAAAGCGATCTCATCGCACATTGCCTTGGGCCTTACGTTGCGAATGTGGTGGGATGGGATGTGGTGTAATGCAGTCAAAGGTATGTTCACCCATTCGCCCTGCGCTGCGCTGCACTCACCTTTTTCCGTGCATTATCAGCCATGATGGGAGCGATCTCATCACGCATCGCCTTGAGCCATGTGAATGCACTGTGGTGCGGTGAGATGCAGTGTGATGCGGTCCAGTGCGTTTTCACTCGCTAGCCCTTCTCTCACCTTCTTCCGTGCATTATCAGCCATGATGGGAGCGATCTCATCGCGCATCGCCTTGAGCCGTGCCAGCCTGGCCTCTGCCTCCTTAGCCGCCCCCTCTGCCACTCGCACTTTGGAACTCCTCTGCGCTGCTTCATGGGAGGGAGGGAGCGTTGGGAGGAAATAGAGGAAATAGAGGGAATGGCGGAAGGGGATCGCCTTCAGCTGTGCCAGCCTGGCCTCTGCCTCCTTAGCCGCCCCGTCAGCACTCGCACTTTGGAACTCCTCTGCGCTGTTGGGGGAAAGCAATAGTAGGGGAAGGAAGAAAAGACGAGTGAGTGAATTTATTATTATTATTGTTCATTTACTTATTTATTTATTTATTTAAGGTAATCTCAGAAGGAGCCAGAGAGGGGAGAATGGTGTGCACGGTGTGATATGGGACAGACAGACGGGCAACAAACACCCTGCATGTCGGCACCAGAATAGTGGACTCGAGTTATCTTTGACAATCCCCAACAGCATTCCTTTTGGGACTTGTATCAGTGCCCCGCTCCTCCTCCCATCATCGCGTTTCGCTTGAATGCCCCATCATCACCCCCCATCACCGTATGCCACCACTGCTCACCCCCCCTTCCCCACCCTCACCTTGCTTCTTTTTTGCTTCCGCAGCTGCTGCTGCTTTTGCCTGGAATGAGGGGAGTGTGGAGCAGCAGAGGGAGGGATAGGAGGATGTATAATAACCACGTGAACAAAGTCACAACAAGGAATCTCTTGCAAGCCACACACACATAGCAATATGGTCACACACAAGCCCACCTAACCCAGAGATGTTGCAACATTGCAGCCCCCAAATTTCCCACCTCTGCTGCTGCTCTTGCATCCGCTGCATCAGCAGCAGCTTTTCCCTCCTGCTTGCTTCCACCTCCTCCTGCTGCTACCTTGGCTCAGCTCTTGAGTCCCGCACCTCAACCCAACCCAACCCAACCCAACCCAACCCAACCCAACCCAACCCACCTCTGCCGCTGCTCTCGCGTCTGCTGCATCAGCAGCTGCTTTTGCCGCCTGGGCTGACCTTCTGTTCGACTCCACCTCCTGCTGCTGCCTCTCCACCTCCCTCTTCCGCTCCTCCTCCTTCCTCCTCTCCTCCTCTTCCTTCCGCCGTCTCTCCTCTTCCCTCCTCCTCCTCTCCTCCTCCATCTCCCTCTGCTGCTTTGCCCGAAGCTCAGCTTCGATCTCGGCTCGGCGCCGAGCCTCTGCCGCCGCTGCCTCTCTCCGAAGCTGCGATTCCCCAGCCTGCATTGGAATGAATCGAGGGAGGAATTAGCCTCCTGTATTTCCTGGTTACCACTACCTTCTGGTTACCGCTAACGTCAGGTTACAAGTTACAACGGACCTCTGATTTCTGCTCGTGCTCCTGCGACAGTCGTCGGATGTGAGAATCCCTCATCTCCTCCCTGTTTGCATGCATGCACACACAAGCACCCATTTCACACATACCCACACACATGCATGCACACATGCATACATACACATACACGCACAGACGCACGCATTCACTTATAGGCACAACACAAGCACACATACACAGCAGGAGCGAAGACTAAACAAGTCCATCCGTTACAACTGCCTTTGACTCTCCTCTTCCTAACCTAACGCACACTGCACTGCACACCAGCCTATCAACCCTATCCACACACCTATCTATACACCTACTCCCCACTCACACCCATCAGCAGCCCACCTACTCTCCCACTCACACGGCCTCCCTGTCAAGCCGAGCCAGTGTCGCCTGCACCGCCTCTCCCTGTGCCTCATACACACGCCATTCACTCTGTCATCAGTCACCCCCACTCACAGTCACACCCACTCACTCGGCCTGCCAGTGCTCCCTATCCAGCCGAGCCAACGTCGCCTGCACCGCCCCTCGCTGCGCCTCATTCACTCACCCATTCCCCTCGCCATCACTAGCCCCCACTCCCAATTACCCCAGCCATCTCCACTCACAGTCACGCCCACTCACACGGCCTGCCAGTGCTCCCTATCCAGCCGAGCCAACGTCGCCTGGACCGCCTCTCGCCGTGCCTCATTCACACGCCCATTCTCTCTCATCAGTCACAGTCGCACCCTCTCACCCACTCACACGGCCTGCCAGTGCTCCCTATCAAGCCGAGCCAGTGTGGCCTGCACCGCCTCCCGCTGTGCCTCCAACACACGGCAACCCTCTCTCATCACTCACACTCTCTCTCATCACTCACACTCTCTCTCATCACTCACACTCTCTCTCATCACTCACACTCTCTCTCATCACTCACACTCTCTCTCATCACTCACACTCTCTCTCATCACTCACACTCTCTCTCATCACTCACACTCTCTCTCATTACTCACACTCACACCCACTCACCCACTCACACGGCCTGCCTGCCAGTGTTCCCTGTCAAGCCGAGCCAGTGTGGCCTGCACCGCCTCTCGCTGTGCCTCCACCGCTGCTACAGCTGCCCGTCCCTTCTCACAGTCACCAGCACTCACACCCTCTCTTGCACTCACACGGCCTGCCAGTGCTCCCTGTCAAGCCGTGCCAGTGTGGCATGCACTGCCTCTCGTTGTGCCTCATGCTCACACACCTATAACCTCTCTCACATCAGTCACACTCGCACACCCTCTCTTGCACTCACACGGCCTGCCAGTGCTCCCTGTCAAGCCGAGCCAGCGTGGCCTGCACCGCCTCTCGCTGTGCCTCCACCGCTGCTACAGCTGCCCGTCCCTTCTCCCGCTCGGCCATCAACCTCCCCTCCAGCCGCACCCGCCGCTGCCTCACCTCCTCCTGCAATACCGTGTGTGTGCGAAGGGGGATCGGAGGGAGATTGTGGGGGGGAGGGGGGGGGAGAGGCAAACTCGTGAGAAGCGGAGGAGGAAAGGGGGGCCTATGAATGGGGGGTTGATTTGAGTTGGTGGGGTGGGAGGGAAGCACGAGAGGCGTGGGCGGGGAGAAAGGGAGGGATGAACGGGGGATCACATGACTGTGCCTCCACCGCTGCTACGGCCGCCCGCCCCTTCTCCCGCTCCGCCATCAGCCTCCCCTCCAGCCGCACCCGCCTCTGCCTCACCTCCTCCTGCGGAGACACGTGAGGGAGAGGGAGGGGGGTGGGGGATGAAGGGGGGGGGAGAATGCTCGAGGAAAACGGGGGAGGAAGGAGCTACAACGCACCTCATATACCTCTAAAACACCACCCCACGATGCCACTCCAAGACCAAGTACGTCCCTCCACCTCAGCAGCGACCTTCCGTTCCACCTCCCCCAGTTCCACCTCCCCCAGTTCCACCTCCCCCAGTTCCACCTCCCCCAGTTCAGCCTCCTCCAGAAGCTTTAGCACACCTCACACCTAAACCACCACCACACAAACCCATTCCATAATCCACGCACGCACCTCCACCTCAGCAGCTACTTTCCGTTCCACCTCCCCCAGTTCCGCCTCCGCCCGTCTCACAGGCCGCGCCACTGGCCTCTCCGCATCTAGCGCACTCCCCCTTCCGCCGAAACTCCCCCTCCGCTTCCCCCCATCTCCGCCGACCCGTTCCCCATTCCCCCCGTCCCCCTCCCCGTCCGAGCCGCTAGAGTCGCTGCTGCTAAGGCTGATGTGGAACGACGCTTTCCGCGGCTTCTTTCCGCCGCTCCCCAAGCTTTTCCGCCTGTCCTTCCCCGCGCTACCCGTTTCCACGCGCGCGCTAGGAGGCGAATAGAACTTTCCCCGGAACCCTCCGCCGTAACCTGTCTCCTCCCTCTCCTCGTCGCTGCTGCCGCTGCTGCTCGCAGATCCTCGACCGGCCGTCATCCACGCCGGGGATCGCGCCGGCGATCGCGCGGAGCATCCCGGTTCTGCCGGCCAGCAGGGGACAGCGCCAAATGCGCCGTCTCCGAAGGCGGCGGGTACGGCGAAGGCGGTGCCCGTTGATCCGGTTTGGAGACGACGCGATGCCTTCGCCGCATATTCCGCCGAATTTCGCGGGCGGAGCTTGGCGGGAACTGGGCCTGTGCGCCGTTGAATTGAGTCAAGCTCGCGGTTAAGATCGTCTCGGGACCAATGGGAATGGGGATCGAGTGCCACGTCCATTCTCCTGCCGGTAGTATCCGTTGCAGTCGAGTTGCCAAGTGGCCCCTGAACTAAAGCAAGAGCTGCTGTACACCGATACTATGTCGGGGATCAATTAGGGTTTGCCATTACTTATAAGACCATGGCAGCTACAGGAACGTAGATGCCGCAAGTTGGCTACGATGATCCACAGGGTAAACTCACCCATAAATCATAATATAGAAATCTCCAATTCCGCTGACGACTTTTTTTTTTTCAACGAGCGAATACAAAACACAGCAAGGGAGCAAAACAACGCAAGTTCAGTGAGTGGAGTTGGAGTTGAAATCTCCAATTCCGCTGACGACTTGGTGCGACGGTCACAGCAAGGCACATGTCGCACGTTGCGTGAAACAAGTCCGCGGAACAGCGAAACAAGTCCGCGAAACAGCGAAACAAGTCCGCGAAACAGTCGAGTCAAGAGTGAAGAATCTAGAGATTTGTCGTAATTTCCTAAATTCATTATAAAAACAATTATGCAATGTCAACGGGCGAGAGAAATTTACATTCCACTTTTCACACCATCCTGATGAGTTGCTGGCAATTCCGACTTCGAACCGCTGGCAGCCTTATGCACCACATCAAGTCTGTTTTGAGCATCCGAATACGATACATGAACTGTAATGACACAAAATCAGTTCACCTTTTCTTCGCTTTTCTCCCTTTCCTGCCGCTCCTACCCCTCCCAGTCTCCTCTTCTTCCTCATTCTCAAGCAACTCCTCCAGATTCTTCCATTCATCTTCCCCTCTTGATCCCATTTGATCATCCTTGCCCCCGCTTCTATTCCTCCTCCCCTTTCCACCCAATATCACCCCTGGCCTACCGTCCAATCCCACTGCTCAAGAACCTCCAGGTGTATTTCTAGAAGCAGATGATACCACCTGAGCTCCAGGTGAACCACGGCCGAAATCAGGTGAATTCTCAGCTCTTCCACGTGAAATTACGTCATTTTCTGAAGAATTTTGTCCACGCTCGGACAGAGATACTGGTGGGTCCATGGCATCTGCTCCTCTCCTTGATCCCCAGGTAGCTGCTGATCTGGCACCAGTCACACGTGACCTGCCCGTGGGTTCTGCTGACCTGTCCGTAGCAGAGGCGAGGGAAGCTCCTCTAGAGGAAGCTTCCCTCCCCAAAATATCTGCTTCTGCGGAAAACCTCAGACGCGAACCTGGACGAGTGGCAACGGCTCCTTGAAAACGCCTTGCAGCTTGATCAGCACTATTTGCAGTGGGCAAGGCAGCAGCAGCAGTACCACCAGCACCACCACTGCCATTATCACTAGTCAGAACACTCGCACTAGCAGCAGGGGCCTGAGGGGCGCGCAGGGGGACAAGCATGAAGTTGAGTCCAAGCACCTGGGCAGCAAACTTCTCCTCAGGACAACTCAGCAGATACACCAGCTCTCGTTGCCTCCGACTCCTCTCCCTGCTCTTCTTCCTGGCCTCCTCAGCACTGCTCATGCTGCCCCTGCTACTAGTACTGCTAGTGGTGCTGCTGGTGCTGGTGCTTGTGCTGGTGGCGGTGCTGTTAGTGGTGCTGGTGGCGGTGCCACGTGGCGGGCCGCGACTGGCCAGCACGCGCAGGCGGCGGCGGATGCGGGTGTCGAGGGCATAGCTGAAGAGCTTGGGGAAGAGCACCAAGTCAGAGCGCGAGCGTGGATAGTAACTACTGCTTGTACTGCTACTGGTGGTGGTGGTGCTGCTGCTGCTGCTGGGGGTGCCGCTGCTTCTGGCGCTGGTGGCCCTGGTGCTGGTATTCGTTTCAGCCGATCTGTCTTTGCCCTCGTCCGAACCCCCCTCGTCCTCCTCGAGCCAGAAGTCTATCTTCGGCCGAAGCACCGCGGCAATGCTGTAGCCCAGGAGCGGTGGGTACCGAACCACCATGCCTGCCACGTCAGCACGGGAGAATCCTCGGGAGTAGAGGTAGGAGATCCTGACACGTGGAGAGAGGGGGGTGGACGGAAAGGAAACAGTAAGAGGGGAGAGAGGAAGGAAGAGAATTGAGGAAGGCTCAACATGCAAGGGGTTCAATGAGAGGAGGTAAGGCGGAGAGACGGAGGAGGGGATAGGCATATGGTCAGAACTTCGGGGGAGCAGTACACAGCCCTCGAGAGTAGTATGACTTTGCCCCATTCTTCTGTCACGACGACGAGGCTACCTCAGCTTGGCTACCTCAGCTTGGCTACCTCAGCTTTCTTTCTCATGAGGCTACCTCAGCCCTAGAAAGTCGTATGCAGACTTTGCCCCGTTCTTCTGTCACTCAGAATGCACCTCCCACCTCTCACCTCCAACCTCCCACCATCACCTGTTCCTCATCGCAATGACGCTCATGGTGGGCATTCGAGGGAAGCGGCACACCACAAATACACCCACATACACTGCTCACCCACGCACCCAATTCACGTGTAAAGGACCCCACCTGCCCTGCAATCAGACTCACCCGTTCCGCATCGCAATGACGCTCATGGTGGGCATTCGAGGGAAGCGGCACACCACAAATACACCCACATACACTGCTCACCCACACACCCAGCTCAGGTGTAATTGACCCCACCTGCCCTGCAATCAGACTCACCTGTTCCGCATCGCAATGACGCTCATGGTGGGCATTCGAGGGAAGCGGCACACCACAAATACACCCACATACACTGCTCACCCACACACCCAGCTCAGGTGTAATTGACCCCACCTGCCCTGCAATCAGACTCACCTGTTCCGCATCGCAATGACGCTCATGGTGGGCATTCGAGGGAAGCGGCACACCACAAATACACCCACATACACTGCTCACCCACGCACCCAATTCAGGTGTAATTAACCTCAGCTGCCCTGCAATCACTCTCACCTGTTCCTCATGCTTCTAACACTCATGGTGAGCACTTTAGGGCGGCACACCACACAGTCACCCACATTCACACCCACATTCCCCATTCGGGTTTGAAGTTTGGGCCTCACCTGTTTCTCATAGAATTGACGCTCATGGTGAGCACCTCAGGGAAGCGGCACACCACACGGGTCACCTCCTCTGCTGCCACCACGGCCACCTCCCCCGCGAGGAACGCCGCCTTGCCGTGCAGCACCGCGGGCGACAGGCACAGCAGGCCGGGGCAGCGGAAGACAAGGTGAGCTAGCTCGTGGGGCGGGATGGAGAGGTTTTCTTGTAGCCAGTCTAGTGACTGTAGGGGGGGAGAAACGAAAAGGGAGGGGAGGGGAGGGAGAATGGGGTAGTGAGGGAAAAGAGCAATTGATGTGTGAGGAAGGCCGCCTTGATTTGCAGCACAGTGGGTGAGAGGCAGAGCAGGCCCGGGCAGCGGAAGATGAGATGGGCTAGCTCGTGGGAAGGGATGGAGAGGTTTTCTTGCAGCCAGTCTAGTGACTGTGGGGGGGGAGAAACGGGAGGGGAGGGGAGGGAGAATGGGGTAGTGAGGGAAAAGAGCAATTGGTGTGTGAGGAACGCCTCCTTGCCTTGCTTTGCCTTCCAGCACCGCGGGCGACAGGCAGAGCAGGACGGGGCAGCGGACGATGAGGTGAGCTAGCTCGTGGGAAGGAATGGAGAGGTTCTCTTGTAGCCAATCCAGAGGCTGAGGGGAGGGGGTAGGGGATGGGGGTAGCGCAGGGGAAAGAGCACTTGGTGTGCGAGGGAGGCCGCCTTGCCTTGCAACAGGGCGAGCGAAAGGCAAAGCAAAGCAGGGCGAGAGCAAAGCAAAGCAGAGCGAGAGGCAAAGCAAAGCAGAGCGAGAGGCAAAACAGAGAGACAGAGGAGGCCATCTCGGTGCGGAAGACGAGGTGCGGGTGGAGGGGGGCAGAGCACATCACTTGTTGAGGAGAAGGGGAGGGGTCCTTGACTGGGAAGCAGGCGGGGAGGGGCAGGCGGGGAGGGGCAGGCGGGGAGGGGCAGGCAGGGAGGGGCAGGCGGGGAGGGGCAGGCGGGGAGGGGCAGGCGGGAAGGGGCAGGCGGGGAGGGGCAGGCGGGGAACAGTCGTCCCATCTGCAACAGAGCACCCTCTTGAGAAGTGAATGATGGAAAAACCACCCCCATTCCATCTGACCACACCCACCTCCCCCAATCCCTTCGATCAGACCCACCTCCCCCAGTTGGTGCCTGGGGCGGCACAGCAGCGACGGGCTGGCAGGCAGAGAGCACGCGCACCACCTGCAGCATGTGCCGCACATGGTCAACTGTTGTGGGAAGTGAATCATTGTTGTCAACCCCCACCCTACCCGATCTCAACACACCCACCCACCTACCACATTCCATATCAGCAGACCCACCTCCCCCATTCCATTCCATATCAGCAGACCCACCTCCCCCAGTTGGTGCCTGGGGCGGCACAGCAGTGAGGGGCTGGCAGAGAGCACCCGCACCATCTCCCCGCGCGTCAGACCCACGCCCTGTAGGAACACGCCAGCTGGCGCGATGCTGTTGGCCGGAGAGAGCGAGAGCAGCTCGGGGCAGCGTGTGAGCATTGGATCGACCTTGCTGATTGGCACCTGGTGGTGGGGGGAGAAGTGGAGGATGGGGAAGTGGTGAAGGAAAGGATGTGGGAAGGATGTGGGGGAGGTGGTTTTCCAGTTCTGGAATAGAGAGGTCGGGGCAGCGCGTGAGCATCGGGTCTACCTTGCTGATGGGTACCTGCGGTTGGGAAAAGGGGACAATCGGGGGGTTGGGTAAGTTTGAGGTAGCGGGGAGGTAGGGGAGGGGAGGGGAGAAGTGAGAGCAGCTCGGGGCAGCGCGTGAGCATTGGATCGACCTTGCTGATTGGCACCTGGTGGGGGGAGGGGAGGAGGGAAGGGCGGAGAAGGTTTTCGTGGTAGGGAAAAGCTAGTGGGGGGGTCGAGGGAAGGCGGGGGAGGAGGTAAGGGAGAGGTGGGCGGGAGGGTCTGAGAGGCTCATTTGCCCAACAGATTGTTCGCATTTCGGATGGTGAGGGCGCATGTAAACTTTTAAGGCGCCTTAAATGTCATCTCGGATGGGTGAGGGAGCATTCCGAGCAACCTGGGCTAGTGCCGGCAGCAGCAGCACAGGCAGGCATTAGCACAGGCGCCTGGTGCCAGCACAGCGCTACGAGTATTGGTGATGGCCTCGGCTACGAAGGTGCGTTCAGGTAGACCGATGGGGAGAGCAGCCAATGCACTCTGCAAAGGCATGCAGGCACTAGCAGCACCTGCCGGCACCTTGAGAGTGTTGGTGATGGCGTCGGCGACGATTGGTGCGTTGAGGTAGACCGACGTGGAGAGCCGCGCAGGTCTGCACCGCACTAGTGGCACAGGCGTGCTGCAGCATCGGGCAGCATAGCACATGCAGCACAGCACAGCGCACCTTGAGAGTGTTGGTGATGGCATCAGCGACCACTGGTGCGTTGAGGAAGACCGACAGGGAGAGCACCACAGGGAAGCGATTGATGATGAGAGGCAGATCACGCACTCGCACTCCCAGCTGTGATGGCGAGGGGGTTTGGAAGTTTGAGGGCACCGAGACAGAGAATGAATGCGAGGTTGGTGTGGGGGTGGAGGGGGAGAAGCGGGGGTGGGCGAGCAGAGAAAGGGGACTGAAATGGCCAAGACAGGTTTTGGGGTTTCGAGGGAACAGTGCAAAGGGAGCTGAAATGGCAAACATGGGTTTGGAGTTTGGAAAGAGTGGAGACACGCAAAGCAGCAGGGGCGAAGAGAGCGAAACGTGTCTTTACACGTGTATCGGGGGAGGGGGGGTGAATGAGGCAAACCTGCTTAAGTTGGCGCTTGCATGCCAGCATCTGCGACTCAAGCTCCGCCTCCCACTCTGACTTTGATGCCACCTCTTTCCCCAACACTGACTCGATCTTTGCTTCTGACTCGGAGACAGACGCAGCTGGCAACTCTGACTCTGATTTAGTTTCCATAGCAACTGCCCCCTTCCTCTCCTTCTTTTCCCTGCCCTTTCCTGTCCGACTGGCAGCAGCACGGGGCGAGGGGCGAGCGGAGGAATAGCGAGAGGATGAAGGGCGAGAGGAGGATGGGCGGGGGGGCACGTGGAGGGCGAGGGCGGGGTGGCAGAGCAGAGGAGGAGGCGGCGGAGAGTGGGGCGGTTGACAGCCCAGTGCAGGGCGAGGAAGCGCAGCACTGGCGGCAGGTGCTCGTGGTGATGGAACTCCTGCTGCTGTTCCTCCTCCTCGTTTTTGTGATCGTGCTTCTGCTGCTGCTGCTGCTGCTTCTCGCCTGTCTTGCTGCTGGTGGTGGCGCTGGTGGTGCTGGTGGTGCTGCTGCTGCGGGTGCCGCTGCTGGTGCTAGTGGTGCTGCTGCTGCCCTCTCCTTCCTCCTCCTCCGCCTCCACCTCCTCAGCCACCCCCCCTCCATCCACATCCTCTCGTACTTTCTCACTCCTCACATCCCACCCGCTTGCTAGATCTCCCGTCTCTTGCTCCTGCCTTTCCTTAACCAGGAACCCTTCTCCCTCCTCGACCTTCCTTCCGTCTGCCTCCAAACCATCCTCCCCATCCACATTGGCAGAAGCATCGGGTTGCTCTTCCCATGCCAGAAATTCTGGAAAACCGGCAACGAGGGCGGGCAGAGCAGTGGAGGGGTCGTCCAATAGCGCGACGCCACGTCGCTGCGCTGCCAGCTGGCAGATCAAGGAGAGGGAAGGGGGAGATACGTGAGTGACGTGAGAGAGGGGGCGTGGGGGCGTGAAAGGAGAGCAGAGGGAGGAAATGGGAGGATGAGAATGAGCGGCCGAAGGAGGGAAGCGGGGAGGGGGAGAGGGAGAAAGGGGAGCCCCCGTGTAGGCACAAGCTACTCGCATATCGCCTAGCTACCCCTGTAGACACAAGTCACCCGCATGTTGCCTCGCTACACCGAACAACTTTCACAGACCGATTTTGCCGCTGAATTCGCCGCTAGTCCTCAACGAATGCTGGTACTACCCGCACAACCAGCGGGATGCCACTACCCTCCTAATTCGTGACCCGAGGCACGCAGAAACGCCCTGTATTGTGTGTTGTGTGATGTGTGCTGCATCGGATCTGTGTGTTCACACAATCGGGTGACGCCACGTGTCGCATCTGTGCGAATTGATGCTGCACGTGGCGTCACCCGATTGCGTGAACACACAGAACCGATGCAGCACACAACACACAACACACAATACAGGGCGTTTCTGCGTGCCTCGGGTCACGAATTAGGAAGTACCAGAAAGTGCCCCCTCATCGGCTCTACTCCTCTTGCAGCCGCCTGCACTACAACCACTTTTACGGAGAAATCCCCTCCTTTCTCAAAGCTAGAGACGGATGGGACCATCTTCGGACAGACATAAGAATGGCACCCAAGCGGGACAGCCAAAGCAAGACAATGAAACTCGAAACTCCGAACCCCAAAACCCAAACTCTGCCCCCAACCCTGAACCTTAAATCCAAAACCAAGAATCGGAGGAAGTCTCTTCGTTACCAGACGATGCAACCCAGAATAAGAACCAAATGGCACCTTTTGGAAAAAGCCCAGAGATTGCTGCAGCAGCACATCGTCATCCCTCGCGATCAATGTCAGCCGTCCGATCGCGCGCTGAATCAACGGCCCAACAGGAGCCACTCCGACCCCTCTACCTTCCCCTTTCCCCCCACCGTTATGCCCTCTCTCCTCCTCTCCATTCCCTGTCACCTCACCGCTCCCCTCCTCCCCTCCATCCTTTCCTCTTCTCATCTCTTCCTCGATAACCCCCTGAGCTCTCCTCTCCTCCCCTCCTTCCCCTTCCCTGTCTTCGTCCCCCCCACTGGCACTACCAGCAGCACCAACAGCCTCCCACAACGAATCTCCTCGCCCCTCGCTCCGACCACTCCTGCCGTTGCTGGCTGGCGTGACAGTGGCAGGGGTGGTGCTGCTGGTGCTGGTTACATGGGTGGTGCTGCTGCTAGTGCTAGTTACAGGGGTGGTGCTGCTAGTGCTGGTTACAGGGGTGGTGCTGCCGCTGTCAGAAGAGGAACTTTCACATTGGATGATGGCACGATTGGTCTTTGCAGGGGCAGCGTTGAGAAGGCTGCTGAGAAGAGCAATTTTCTCCCACACTCTCTTCGCTCGCACCCCCCCACACACACGCGCCACCTGTCGCGCTCTCCCCCACGCCACTCCAACACTCTCCACCACTGCTGCCACCACCCACTCTGCTGCCTCCCCGCGCCCAACCCCCTCCTCCTTATAATGCGCGTCATAACCCCCCCTGTCTCGCCTCCCTTTCAGTACATTCACCAGCCGCAAAAACAGCTCCTCTTCCCCCTCCTCCTCCCCCTGCCGTTCCCCATCCCCCTCCTCCTCCTCCTCCCCCTCCCCTTCCCCTTCTCCTTCACACGCGAATGCACCCAAATGTTGCTCGCAATCCCCCCTTCCTCCCGTCGCATCCCCCGTATCCCCGTTTAAACCCTCAACCCTACCGAAGGGTTTGGGGTTGCCTGCTGGCTGTTCTAATAGTGAAGGGTGGTCCCCCACTGAGGGATGGTCTCCTCTGCCCTCCGGTCTGCCCTCTGTTCCACGCTCAGGTGTACCTTCAGGTGTTTTTTCATGTGCTCCTTCGCTTTCAGGTGCGTCTTCTGGTGTGCTTCTTGGTTCAAGCCCTGAGCCTCTGAGCTTCCTTTCAAGCTCAGCCGCCCCCTGTTCGTCAGCATCTCGCTCTAACACGAACTTCGCGAAACCCGTTACGTTTCTCGCCACAGCCTTCGCCTGGTCTTCGCTAAACCCTTCGTCCTGCACTAGAACCACCGCCAAAGCCGCCCGTGCGATCTCTAATCTCCGCTGGCTAATCTCCCCCGATCCTTCCGCCGACTCCTCAATCCTTCCTCCTCCGCCAGCGCTTCCGCCAGAGCTTCCCCCCAGCTTTCCTCCGAATCCTCCCCCCGCCACCTCCGCGGGCACGTTCCCCCCCGCAGTGGCATCCGCGCGAACATGGCTTCTTGCGCGGGGATCAGTAACACGGATCGCACGCGATCGTCTGCTTGTGCGAACATCTGCGACACTAGTCGCATGCAATTGCCAGCTTGTGGGACCAACTGTGACAGGGATCGCTGCGGATCTGTGAGGTTGACCAGTCAACGGGTCGGGGATCACGCGTTGACCATCGTTGACTTCAGCTGACCTATGCGAGAGGGGAGACCAAGAGCGCGGATGCGCGAATCCCTCACCGCCGTTGACTGTCGCTGACCGGGTTTGACGGCTGGTCAACGAGATAACGAGAGGAGAGATGCTGGACCTGGATTCGCGAGAACGAGGAGTCAACGGGTGCGAGGGTCGTTGACTGCTGTTGACTGCCGTAGACGGTAGGCGACACAGCAGCGACCGAAGGGCGCAGTCTGATGCGTACATGGCAGGGCGAGCAAGTGGAACGTGCGAGGTAACAGTGACAACAGCAAGGTGGGGGAGGATTCGTTCTATATTAGTTATATAACGTGAACTATCCATTAAATTATTATTATGTGAAGCAGACATCCTGCTATAGCTCAGTTGGTAGAGCGGAGGACTGTAGTTTAGCAATCCTTAGGTCACTGGTTCGAATCCGGTTGGCGGGATCCTTTTGCTCTCTTGCATTGTCACCGTGCTTCTCCTGCCTTTTTATCCATCCTTTATTCCACGGGCATCAGATCTATCTCGCGTTGCCGAGCGATGCGGTGCGCTGATGGGTGTTTGCCCCAACGGCCTTTCCATCTCAAAGCCCCTTTTTTCTTTCTAGCCGCCACGATCCATGCCCGCTGAACGACATTCCGAGGTGTAACGAAGTCCAACGAAGTCTTGCGACACTTCATAAACACTTTGTGGATACTACTCGTATCGATCGTTTTGGAATGGCTGCCCGCATAGCACGGCGGGTAGGGAGGATCTCCACCGTCGATCGCACGCCGTTCGTCTCCGCACTCCTTTCTGGAGCCTTCGCATGGCGTCGCACGTTTGTGTCGTCGCCAACATCGCCAATTTCGCCAGCATCGTTAGCCTCGCCTTCGTCCCCCGTGATGGCAGCGCCAGTAGGGGGAAGCGCGGCGCAAGGTGGGGAAGGCGGTGCGCAAACGGTAGGGAGAAGCGGTGTAGGGGCTGCGGAAAGCACCGCGCGATCAGGGGGGAACAATGCGCAGGCTGTAGGGGGAAGCGGCGCACGAACCATAGGGGGAATCACCGCACGCGCGGCGGCGGGTGGCGGCGCGCGCGCGGTGGTGCGCGTGGTGCGCGCGGACGGGATGGACGTGGAGGCGCAATTGCGGCTGGAGGAGAAGCTTCTCAGAAGCGACCCGACCAACAGCAACTGGTTCGTCTTCAATGCTGACGTGGCAGCACCGACCATCGTGATGGGGATTTCAGGGTAAGCCATTTCTTTCCCCTTTCTCAACGCCTTCCCTTGCCCTCTCCTGTTCTCTTTTCACAGATTCTTCCGTTTTTTCCTTCGCCTCGTTACCCTCATTTCTCGCCACCACTACACCTAGACTGGAAAGCACCCTTGATTGTGTGTTTCGTCCCCAACCCCCTTTCTTATTTACCCTCCCACTTTCTCTCCATTCACCTTTCCGTCCCGCCTGCATATTCCCGCTTCCCCCCCACACCAGCAAGCCTCATGAATTGCTTCACACCGAGGCTGTCCTCGAGGCTCGGGTGCCGGTGGTCCGCCGGTTCAGCGGTGGAGGTACGGTGGTGCTGGACTCAGGCTCGGTGCTGACGAGCCTGATCTGCCGACGCAGCGCGGTGCCGAACCTGCCGCTGTACCCGCGGCCCATAATGGAGTGGACAGAGGGCCTGCTGGGACCGGCCATGACAAATGTTCCGGGATTCGCCCTAAGGGATAATGGTGAGAACTTTTCGAGATGTCTCAAATCGGCCCTTGCGTTGAAAGTACATTGAAAGTACGTTGATAATTGCCCTTGAATCAAGCACAGCGGCATAGGGACAGAAAGAAGAACCACCGCCACGTCCCGTGCCCCAACCCTGATCCCCCTGCAATAACGCTTTGCCATGTCATCAGACTACATGCCCTGCCCCGTGTCCCAATCTCAATATACCCCAATCCCGACCTCCCCTGCACTACACTGTGCCACGTCATCAGACTACGTGGTGGGCAATCTCAAGGTGGGCGGCAACGCGCAGAGCATCACGGGCAGCGGCTGGCTGCACCACACGTCGTTCCTTTGGGGCTTCTGCTCGCACCGCATGGCACTGCTGCAGCAGCCCTCGCGTGCTCCTGAATACAGACAGGTGAGTGTGTGACATATCGTGTTCGATATGGGGTATGAATGGAATCTCAGTTTGACTGCTTTTCTGTGCAACCAACAGTGCCTGGACCGAGAGAGTTAGGTGAGTAGAGACATGTGAGTGTGGTATGCCATGTGATTGTATGGTGAAGGATGTGCTCAATCCATCTAGCCATTTCCTGCTTATCATGCTTATCCATGGCTTTTTAGGGCTTGTAAAAAAGTATATATTTGGCCTACAATCACTTTTGCTCTCTTTCAATCTCTCCTTTGCAGGGGCGCTCCCATGATCAGTTTATCACCAAACTATGTCAATATTACTCCACAAAGGAAGAATTCTTGAGATCCGTCCTAGTGGCACTCGCTCTGCACTTTGATTTGCGGGCGACTGCTCTCCACCAAGTAGAGGCTTTGCCATTCCAGCCTTGGAAATCCGGTGTTGCTGTTCTTGCTCGGGATGAGTTAACTATTGCTCCTAGTTTGTGAACTCGTACGTGTAAATGGATATATCGTTTTTCTTGGTTCATTCACTGTAGGGTCAAACTTGGTGCAGATGAGCGGTTTGATGTTCTTGTAACGAATCAAACAGAGATTGGTCAGACGCAACCCACAGTGAACAAACTCGAACCGTCTCCGCCGTACGTTTTTCGGTTTTCCCCCCACCCTCCCCCCCGCATTCTGCTGCTCACCGCGCAAGAACAACCCAACATCCACATCGCAGATTCCCCCAACGAGCCGCGCAACTTGCTGACATAACGCGCCATTCCCCCAGATTCCAACACGCCTGCCCCTGCGAGCGAAGTGTCTCCCCCAGCGCGTGCTCCTGCGCAGAAGTGTTTCCGCCCCTCCACCGCTGTGGCGTCTGTTCCGCTGCGGTTGCTGCCACTACCTTGGGAACACCAAAATCATCGAATCCATCCTCTCCATTTGTCAGTCCGTGCATCTATTCGTCGTACGGTACGGTTCAACCCCCAAGAGCAAAGAATCCCATCCCAACCCACAAGTGGCGTTTGCCCTCCCTAGATTTCACCAGCAGCACCGAAGAGCAGCGCAGCCGTCTCTAGGGAATATCCGCTTCCCAGGACCGTTGAATGGCTACGTGGAGCCCCATTTCCGCGAAAGCCACCTCTGCTGCCTCCTCCTCGCTCGCTACACTGTCTGGTTCCTCCAAGCGCTTTCTTAGCGTTGCTCCCGCCGCTCTTTGCGGGATTTCCAGCGTAGCTAGCCTCGGCTGTGATCTGCTAGGTGCTCAACTCCGATTGTCCCGCCAATCGCGGGGGTCCGAGAATAAACGCTTTCCTGCTCCCGGATCGTTGACATTGTTCAGGTACTTCGCAAGTTGGTAACCGAAGGTGTCAGTACTAGCTTCTAATCAGTATGCATTGGTCCAATCCGTCAGTGATTTAGATGCATCCTAGCCGTGCGTTCAACTTTGTGCTGCGTTGCCGTGCTCATGCTGAGCCATCCGATTTGATCCGTTCCTGTCCGTTTCCAAAGTCTTCACATCTGTCAATCCTGTTGCGTATGATAGAATGCATTCGCAATGTAGCCAGGTTTCGTTGCTAATGGCTAATGAATTTACTTTCAGTCGTGGCAACAGTGTTTCGTTGCTAATGGCTAATGAATTAACTTTCAGTCGTGACAACAGTCACCTCGTCCCCAATGTCAGATCTGCTCTCTATCCCAGCCCTCGTCCGTTTTCACTGCTTACTACGCAAACTTCTCTCCACGTACATCAACTGTCCACCTCGCAGGAACCACTATCATTCTACTCGGCTCGTCGCCAAGGCTGCTGCCGCCATGAGCCCGCTGTCAGGTACCGTCACAGGCCGATCATGTGCGAGCCTCGCGAAAGCGTTCGCGAAACAACCTGCTCCTGTCACCCTATTCGTTTCGCTGTTTCTCGCCGTGGGTGTCGTGATCGCCGTTGGAGGAGTCATGATTTCCAATAACGACGGCAGCAGCAGCAGCAGCAGCATCAGTGCGAGGGATGGCCGTTGTCCGAGTTCCGACAAGCACTGTTCTGCGAAACGCGGGCTCTCAACACCCACTTCAGACGACCTGTTGCCATTCGGCAAGCAAGCTCTTTGCCGCGCTCATCTCTCCCTCCATGTCTCTCCCTTCTATCATCATATCGCTCTCTGACTCACTTACCCTCGACCATCCATTAGTCTACCACGTTTGCTTAGTCTGCAGCACTTCAAAAAACAGCCGTATAACCATCGCCACTCCCGTTCGCTCCAACTCCCCTCACGGTCTGAAACGTCTCAAACCATCACTCTGCTCCAACTCCCCAATCTACTTCCAGTATCCCTCGCTTCCCCTCCCTTTTTCCACCCTCTTTCCCCCAACCTTCACTCTCCCCCAGGCACACCAGCGGCGAAGACCATAGTGCTGCCAGCCAAGGCGGGGAAGCATGCTGCCACGGTGGTGTGGCTGCACGGGCTGGGGGATACTGGATACGGATGGTCCGATCTCTGCAAGACAGTTAACCTCCCACATGTACGTGAATGTGAAAAATGGGTCCATTATAGCTGCGATGTGGCTGCACGGGCTGGGGGACACCGGATATGGATGGTCCGATCTCTGCGGGACGGTTAACGTCCCACATGTCCGTGAAATTCCTTATGAAAACTAATGAAAGTGATCCCATCCCACTATAGCTATGGTATGGCTGCACGGGCTGGGAGATACCGGCTATGATTGATCTGATCTGATCTCTGCACGACAATCAACCTCTCACATGTATGCGCATGTCTCTCATGTATGTGCATGCACATGTTTCAGATGTGCATACTTCACATGCGTGTGCTTTTTTCACATGTATAGAAATCTCATATTCCACTTGCATGTACGCACTTGCTTCTGAGCTCTCCTCTTGCTTATGTCCTTGGCTCTCTGTAACGCTTCCTATTCGGCTCCTGCTGCAATTGAGCTCGCCAGCACAAGGTTCTGCCCGTGTCTCATTGGTGAGACGTTTTTTAAGGCTCACCAGCGCATGGTGTCTCATTAGTGAGACGTTTTTTAAGGCTCACCAGCGCATGGTGTCTCATTAGTGAGACGTTTTTTAAGGCTCACCAGCGCATGGTGTCTCATTAGTGAGACGTTTTTTTAAGGCTGTGTTCCCTCCTTCCATCGGGAGCTCACCAGCATATGGTTCTGTCCGTGACTCATTGCTCCCTCCCTCCCTCCCATGCATTGCATGCAGATCAAGTGGATCCTCCCCAGCGCCCCCATTGCCTCTGTCACGATCAATGGTGGCATGCCATGCCCCTCATGTGAGTATTCACCTCCCATGCCCCTCATGTGAGTAGTCGCTTACCATGCCCCTCATGTGAGTAATCGCTTACCGTGCCCCTCATGTGAGTGTACGGCTTCTCATGTGAGTATGGTCCCTCATGTGAGTACTCATAAGCCATACCATGCCCCTCATCTGAGCGCTCACAAGCCATGCCCCTCATGTGGGTATATGGCTTCTCATTTGAATATGGCCCCTCATGCATTATTCAAGGCACGGCATGGCATGTCATGTGTGCGCACTGGCAAGCCATGGCTTGCCTTAAGTTGTATCATCTCGCCTCATTTCGCGTCAACACCCCACGCCTTGCTTCATCTTCCCTCATCTCACTTCGTCTCACCGCATCTGGCCTCGTCTTTCCTCCTGTGTCACACCACACCACGCTCCTCCCACCAGGGTTCGACCTGTTTGGGCTGGACGCGAACGCACGGGACGACGTGAAGGGCATCGATGCTGCTGCAAGATACGTGGCTGGAATCCTGGAGGAGGAGAAGAAGGCAAATCCTGGTGGGTGTTGGTGATACGATTACCAGAGTGGGTTAGATATCAAGGGCATTGATGCCGCTGCGAGATTCGTGGCTCGGATCCTGGAGTAGAAGCGAGCCAACTCTGGTAGGTGCAGTGTGGCTGCAAGATATGTGGTTGTTCTGTAGGAGGAAAGGTGAGCCAATCCTGGTTGGAATGGTAGAGATATAGATTTACATATATGTATATACTATACATATATGTCTACATATATTTGCATACATAAAGAATTTGCGCCCCTTAAACAAACCCTTCTCTCTCTGCCCTCCCACCCTCACCAGATGTCAAGTTTGCAGTGGGCGGGTTCAGCCAAGGGGGCGCCCTATCCCTCTACCTCATGTCCCGGAAAGTTCTGGGAAAGTTTGAGGATGGTTCCGATGCTTCGGCTGTGCCGCTCCACGCCTCTGTCGCGTTCAGCGGCTGGCTACCCAAGTGCAGGTGGGTGGGGTAGAGATGTTGGGTTGGATTATGGAGGAGGTAGGATCTAGGGGAGGCTGCATCCGGGGTGAGGTTTAGGCTTGGGGAGGGGGGATGGCATGGATGCTGGTCTCCTCTGTGCCGCTCCATGCCTCTGTTGCCTTCAGCGGCTGAAGGTGGGATATGGGATATGGGTGGGATAGGAGAGAGGATGGGCTTGGTCTGCTGTCTTTCCTTCCTCTGTTCCTCCTTTGAAAAGGGGGAGCTTTGGAGTAGGGCTGCTACTGCTATGCTACCTGCTTCAAAACTCGCAAACGAACAACCCCCCTCCCCATCCCCCTTCCCTTTTCCCTCGTCCCCCCAATAATGGCAAGCAGTCTGAAGCCCGGAGGGAGTGCAGCAGTGGGGGACGCATCCGTGGCAGAGAAGGCCGCCACCCACCCTTTGCTCATGGCGCACGGGGAAGGTAGGCTGTGGGCAAGGCGCAAACGAACGAACTACCCCCCTCCCCCTTCCCCTTCCCTGCTCCCTTCTTCCCCCGCTTATGGCTAGCAGTCTGAAGCCCGGAGGGAGTGCAGCAGTGGGGGATGCGTCCGTGGTAGAGAGGGCCGCAGCTCACCCTGTGCTCATGGCACATGGGGAAGGTAGGCTGGTGGGGTGATGGCGCATGGGGAAGGTAGGCTGGTGGGGTGGTGGCGCGTGGGAAAGGTAGGCTGGTGGGGTGGTGGCGCGTGGGAAAGGTAGGCTGGTGGGGTGGTGGCGCGTGGGAAAGGTAGGCTGGTGGGGTGATGGCGCATGGGGAAGGTAGGCTGGTGGGGTGATGGCGCATGGGGAAGGTAGGCTGGTGGGGTGATGGCGCATGGGGAAGGTAGGCTGGTGGGGTGATGGCGCATGGGGAAGGTAGGCTGGTGGGGTGATGGCGCATGGGGAAGGTAGGCTGGTGGGGTGATGGCGCATGGGGAAGGTAGGCTGGTGGGGTGATGGCGCATGGGGAAGGTAGGCTGGTGGGGTGATGGCGCATGGGGAAGGTAGGCTGGTGGGGTGATGGCGCATGGGGAAGGTAGGCTGGTGGGGTGATGGCGCATGGGGAAGGTAGGCTGGTGGGGTGATGGCGCATGGGGAAGGTAGGCTGGTGGGGTGATGGCGCATGGGGAAGGTAGGCTGGTGGGGTGATGGCGCGTGGGGAAGGTAGGCTGGTGGGGTGATGGCGCGTGGGGAAGGTAGGCTGGTGGGGTGATGGCGCATGGGGAAGGTAGGTCGGTGGCAAGGCATGGGGAAAGCAGGCTGGGGGCAAGGCATGGGGAAAGCAGGCTGGGGGCAAGGCATGGGGAAGGTAGGCTGGGGGCAAGACATGGGGAAAGCAGGCTGGGGGCAAGGCATGGGGAAAGCAGGCTGGGGGCAAGGCATGGGGAAAGCAGGCTGGGGGCAAGGCATGGGGAAAGCAGGCTGGGGGGTAAGGCATGGGGAAGGTAGGCTGGGGGCAAGGCGCATGAGAGGTAGGTAGGTACCACGTGTGTGCCAGCACAATATTTCTTCCCTTGTGCAGCAAACAGCCTGGTGCCCTTGCCTTTAGCAAGGGGTCGGCTCAGGTGCTTTAGGAAGGTGCATGCGCATCTGTGAACGACTTATGAAATATTTCCCCCCTTTCCTCTCATCCCCCATGTATGCTCATGCCACCCATGTATCCCTCCCCATGCAGCGGACGGCTTGGTTCCCTTTGCCTTTGGCAAGGGGTCACCTCTGGTGCTGCAGGAAGGTGCGTGTGGATCACAGAGCGATTCGTTAAACATTTCCCCCCTCTCTTCCCCCAAATGTGCTCGTGCCCTCCCCATGCAGCGGACGGCTTGGTTCCCTTCGCCTTTGGCAAGGGGTCGGCTCAGGTGCTGCAGGAAGCGGGGTTCTCCAACCTGACTTTCAAGTCGTACCGCGGGTGGGTGATTGCCTGTTATGGGAGGGGGTTCCCTTGAACACTAGTTTTGAGGCGCCTCAAACTCAGGTGCTGCAGGAAGCGGGGTTCTCCAACCTCACCTTCAAGTCGTACCGCGGGTGGGTCATTGCCTGTCATGGGAGGGGGTCGAATTTCTATTTGTTCCGTGTTAATCAACTTGTTCCACATGGTTTCTACATGTTTTGCATAATTTTATCTTATCTGATTATCCTAGTCCACAGCGTGTACTATCACATCTTCTACCTCCCTACTGTCACACTCATCTCATCAGCTGTCACATACAATGCCCATACTAGCACGTCTCGTGCAATCATTACCGATCCTGTGTCCCCCTCTCCCCTCCCCCTTCCCCCCACCCCACAGGATGGCCCACTCTGCTTGTCCCGAAGAACTGGCAGATCTCAAAGCCTGGCTGCAGAAGAATGTGCCGTCACCCTCTTGATTTCCCACCTGCAACTTTGCATGTCAAGGTGTCCCCGGCCCATTTGCAGTTGTGTGACCCTTGTATTCGTGCAAATATATATATATATTGCTAGCATGCTATCCAATTTTGCAGACCACTGAAGGATGTAGTGCCGTGTACTGTTACTTCTATATTACCGTTAGTAAAGGTGGGAAAACCATGTGTACCTCTCTTTGCCGAGACCAACCTCGCAAATTTCGCTAGGTCAATCGCTTCTCGGTCCGCCGTACAGCCAAGCAAGCTCCGTGCGCTGGCCACGGGCACCACGCCACGGACCAGCCTCACGGACCTAGGCTTGGATCAACCTCGGACCAAACATGGACCAAGGCGGACCACTCGGGCCAGCCTATTTGCCATCGCACATCATCGTCATCGTCGCAGAATACCGTCGCAATTAGTCGCTTGCAAACTTCGAAATACGTTCGCGACCAGTCAGAAGAGTCGGTGCCTGGAACAGATCCTGGTCCGAGTTCCTAGGCTCACTCCACGGTTTCCCTTGGCTTCTTTTCTGCTCCCTCCCGTGGCTCATACTCTTACCTGCCATTTCCTCTTACCTTCCTTTACCCCAATTTCCACGCCAATTCTCGCTTCTTTCCGCCATGACGCCAGATAAAACCCTTCCGCGGTTTGCCGAAACACTCCAGCATCTATCGAGTCGCATCAAAAGTCTGCCGAAACACGCCAATTTTTTTCCAAATATTCCCTTGTTTCTCGTGTTCATCCACTGGCCGCTTGCGTATCCTTCCCATAAACCATACTCATGTCGGTCCGAAATACTCTCCCGAAGAGGTTCGGTAACCTAATCCGGAGAATGTTCGGCACTCGCAACGATCGTGGTGACATGACTTCCAATCCCGCACCCGCAGAAGAGCGAGGTCCTGTAGGGATGGCAGAACCAGCATCAGCGGCAAAACTTGCAGGAGCGGAAGCGGAAGCGGCAGCAGCTGCGGCAGCAGCAGGAGCAGCAGCAGCAGCAGCAACGGATCAATCGCCATACAGTAAGGATCGGTCCACCAATAGCCCACCACCACCAGTCACCACCAATCACCAGCAAGCTCTTTGCACTGCGTTCTCTCCCCCCTCGCTGTACCTCTGTCGCTCCCTCCTTTCGTCTGATCCTGCTGCTACTTTAGATGCCGCCACTGACCATTTTTTGGTCTCGTCGAGAAATGATGACATTTTGTCATGCTGTCATGCTGTCATGCTGTCATGCTGTCTTGCTGTCATGCTGTCATGCTGTCATGCTGTCATGCTGTCATGCTGTCATGCTGTCATCCTGTCATGCTGTCATGCTGTCATGCTGTGGATGGTGTGTCTGGTGTGGCTGCTATGGCGTCTCGCAACCTCCCCACCTTCCCTCGCCTCCAGGCACACGAGCAGGGAGGACCCAAGTGTTACCGGCGCAGGAGTGGCAGCACACGGCGTCTGTGGTGTGGCTGTGACTCCCTGGCCCCACCTCCCCACCTTCCCTCGCCTCCAGGCACACCAGCGGGGAGGACCCAAGTGTTACCGGCGCAGGAATGGGGCGTCGGTGGTGTGGCTGCACGGGCTGGGGAACACGGGCTATGGCTTCCCGCAATGGCTGTGACTCTCTGGCCCCACCTCCCTGGCTTCCCTCCTTCTCTCGCCCCAGGCACACGAGCGGGGGAGGACCAAAGTGGTGGAAGCGCAGGAAGGGCAGCACACGGCCACTGTGGTGTGGCTGCACGGGCTGGGGGACAGCGGTGATGGCTGCTCGCAATGACTGTGACTCTCGGGCCCCACCTCCCCGCCTTCCCTCGCCTCCCCTCGCCTCCAGGCACACGAGCGGGCACGACCAAGGTGGTGGAAGCACAGGCAGGGCAGCAGACGGCCACTGTGGTGTGGCTGGTGTGGGTGGTGTGGGTGCAGGACGTTTGAGTCGACCCAAACGCCCCTTCCGCTCGCGCTCCCCCTTCACCCACCTCCCCCCAGGCTCACGAGCGGGCACGATCAAGGTGGTGGAAGCGCAGGCAGGGCAGCACACGGCCACGGTGGTGTGGCTGGTGTGGGTGCAGGACGTTTGATTCCACCCAAACGCCCCTTCCGCTCGCGCTCCCCCTTCACCCACGTCCCCCCAGGCACGCGAGCGGGCGAGACTAAAGTGGTGGAAGCGCAGGCAGGGCAGCACACGGCCACGGTGGTGTGGCTGCACGGGCTGGGGGACACGGGCCATGGCATCTCGCGATGACTGTGACTCTCTAACCCCACCTCCTCGCCTTCCCGCCTTCCCTCGCCGCCAGGCTCACGAGCGGGGAGGACAAAAGTGGTGGAAGCGCAGGAAGGGCAGCACACGGCCACGGTGGTGTGGCTGGACGGGCTGGGGGACAGCGGCAATGGCATCTCGAACTGGCTGAATATGGTGTGGGAATCTGTGGGTGAACAAGGCGGCAACCATCTACTCGACCTCCCACACGTACGGTTATGGGTGCTTGCATTGGCTGCATGAAGTGGGGTGGGATGGGGTGGGGTGGGGTGGGTTGCGGTGAGATGGCGTGTGGAATACTGAGAGCTGGCGTGAGAGTGAGTAAGACTTTTAGTCGGTTGACACCCAGCCACCGATCCTATACGGCGGCTACGTGTGTCTGTTGCTGTTCGAAAAAAGAGTGAGTGGCATAGAAAAAAGAGTGAGTGGCATAGAAAAAAGAGTGAGTGAGTGGCATAATTAAACTAGACCTCCCTCCTGTATGTGCAACTGGCTGTCGAGTCGACACAGGCGATGGGTGCTTGCAATGGTTGCCTGGGGTGGCTGATGGGGTTGGGTGGGGGAAGTACCTGAGAATGGGGGCTTTTTACGCGACCTCCCTGTGTTGTAGGTTGATTTTGTGGATTCTGCGAATTCTTGGAATTCTGTGAATTCTTGGAATTCTGTGAATTCTTGGAATTCTGTGAATTCTGGAAATTCCGTGAATTTTGAGACTTCCATGATCACCCAACAACGGAGGCTTCTCCATACCCATTGGATTGGACGTTTCGTTTCCCAGCGCCTGTAGCGACGATTTTCCGAGCACTTCAGATCCATGGTTCACCTCACCTCACCTCGCCTCACCTCACCTCACCTCACCTCACCTCACCTCACCTCACCTCACCTCACCTCACCTCACCTCGCCTCACCTCACCTCACCTCACCTCGCCTCACCTCACCTCACCTCTCCTCACCTCACCTCACCTCACCTCACCTCACCTCACCTCACCTCACCTCTCCTCACCTCACCTCACCTCACCTCACCACGCCTCATCTCCACCCGCCATTCCCTTGGTGCAGGTCAAGTGGATATACCCCTGCGCACCTGGAAACCATGTCTGAGGCGCCTAAAAATACCCACCGCCTTTCTTTCCTCACCTCATCTCCTCCCCACACTCACCGCATTCCCATGTGGCAGGTCAAGTGGATATTCCCCAGCGCCCCTACAGCTTCCGTGTCTGTCAACCGCGGCCACCGCTCCCCTTCCTGTGAGTCCCTCACGTGCCCTTCTTGTGAGTTACCCGGGTGGCCTTTCTTTGAGCTCGTTTTCTTAGATGTCTTTATCATCGGCCCTTGTCTCCGTCACGTCAACCGCGGCCATCGCGCCCCTTCCTGTGAGCCTCTCATGCACCTTTCTTGTGAGTTACTCAGGTGGCCTTTCTTTGAGCTCGTTTTTTTAGATGTCTTTATCATCGGCCCTTGTCTCCGTCAACCGCGGCGCGGCCATCGCGCCCCTTCCTGTGAGCCTCTCCTCTCATCCCCCTCATCCATCCCTCATCCCCCTCATCCATCCCTCATGGTACTTGCCCCTCTCCTCCTCCCTATCCAGGGTACGACATCCATGGTTTCAACCCCGATGCTCCCGTGGATGCCGCGGGCCTTGACGAGGCTGCCAGATACATTGCTGGGATTCTCGAGGAGGAGAGAAGGGCGCATCCTGGTGGGTGGGTGGGTGGGTGGGTTGAGTCCTGTGCTGTGCTGTGCTGTGCTGTGCTGTGCTGTGCTGTGCTGTGCTGTGCTGTGCTGTTTAAGGGGCTACCAAGAGGGCTGGATGCCAACGGCCTTGACGAGGCTGCCAGATACATTGCTGGGATTCTCGAGGACGAGAGAAGGGCGAATCCTGGTGGGTGGGGTGCTGTGCTGTGCTGTGCTGTGCTGATTGGATGAGTAGCAACAGGGTTAGGGGTGTGAAAAGCATTGACTGATTGGGTGAGTAGCAACAGGGTTAGGGGTGTGAAAAGCATTGACTGATTGGGTGAGTAGCAACAGGGTTAGGGGTGTGAAAAGCATTGACTGATTGGGTGAGTAGCAACAGGGTTAGGGGTGTGAAAAGCATTGACTGATTGGGTGAGTAGCAACAGGGTTAGGGGTGTGAAAAGCATTGACTGATTGGGTGAGTAGCAACAGGGTTAGGGGTGTGAAAAGCATTGACTGATTGGGTGAGTAGCAACAGGGTTAGGGATGTGAAAAGCATTGACTGATTGGGTGAGTAGCAACAGGGTTAGGGGTGTGAAAAGCATTGACTGATTGGGTGAGTAGCAACAGGGTTAGGGGTGTGAAAAGCATTGACTGATTGGGTGAGTAGCAACAGGGTTAGGGGTGTGAAAAGCATTGACTGATTGGGTGAGTAGCAACAGGGTTAGGGGTGTGAAAAGCATTGACTGATTGGGTGAGTAGCAACAGGGTTAGGGGTGTGAAAAGCATTGACTGATTGGGTGAGTAGCAACAGGGTTAGGGGTGTGAAAAGCATTGACTGATTGGGTGAGTAGCAACAGGGTTAGGGGTGTGAAAAGCATTGACTGATTGGGTGATTAGCAACAGGGTTAGGGGTGTGAAAAGCATTGACTGATTGGGTGAGTAGCAACAGGGTTAGGGGTGTGAAAAGCATTGACTGATTGGGTGAGTAGCAACAGGGTTAGGGGTGTGAAAAGCATTGACTGATTGGGTGAGTAGCAACAGGGTTAGGGGTGTGAAAAGCATTGACTGATTGGGTGAGTAGCAACAGGGTTAGGGGTGTGAAAAGCATTGACTGATTGGGTGAGTAGCAACAGGGTTAGGGGTGTGAAAAGCATTGACTGATTGGGTGAGTAGCAACAGGGTTAGGGGTGTGAAAAGCATTGACTGATTGGGTGAGTAGCAACAGGGTTAGGGGTGTGAAAAGCATTGACTGATTGGGTGAGTAGCAACAGGGTTAGGGGTGTGAAAAGCATTGACTGATTGGGTGAGTAGCAACAGGGTTAGGGGTGTGAAAAGCATTGACTGATTGGGTGAGTAGCAACAGGGTTAGGGGTGTGAAAAGCATTGACTGATTGGGTGAGTAGCAACAGGGTTAGGGGTGTGAAAAGCATTGACTGATTGGGTGAGTAGCAACAGGGTTAGGGGTGTGAAAAGCATTGACTGATTGGGTGAGTAGCAACAGGGTTAGGGGTGTGAAAAGCATTGACTGATTGGGTGAGTAGCAACAGGGTTAGGGGTGTGAAAAGCATTGACTGATTGGGTGAGTAGCAACAGGGTTAGGGGTGTGAAAAGCATTGACTGATTGGGTGAGTAGCAACAGGGTTAGGGGTGTGAAAAGCATTGACTGATTGGGTGAGTAGCAACAGGGTTAGGGGTGTGAAAAGCATTGACTGATTGGGTGAGTAGCAACAGGGTTAGGGGTGTGAAAAGCATTGACTGATTGGGTGAGTAGCAACAGGGTTAGGGGTGTGAAAAGCATTGACTGATTGGGTGAGTAGCAACAGGGTTAGGGGTGTGAAAAGCATTGACTGATTGGGTGAGTAGCAACAGGGTTAGGGGTGTGAAAAGCATTGACTGATTGGGTGAGTAGCAACAGGGTTAGGGGTGTGAAAAGCATTGACTGATTGGGTGAGTAGCAACAGGGTTAGGGGTGTGAAAAGCATTGACTGATTGGGTGAGTAGCAACAGGGTTAGGGGTGTGAAAAGCATTGACTGATTGGGTGAGTAGCAACAGGGTTAGGGGTGTGAAAAGCATTGACTGATTGGGTGAGTAGCAACAGGGTTAGGGGTGTGAAAAGCATTGACTGATTGGGTGAGTAGCAACAGGGTTAGGGGTGTGAAAAGCATTGACTGATTGGGTGAGTAGCAACAGGGTTAGGGGTGTGAAAAACATTGACTGATTGGGTGAGTAGCAACAGGGTTAGGGGTGTGAAAAGCATTGACTGATTGGGTGAGTAGCAACAGGGTTAGGGGTGTGAAAAGCATTGACTGATTGGGTGAGTAGCAACAGGGTTAGGGGTGTGAAAAGCATTGACTGATTGGGTGAGTAGCAACAGGGTTAGGGGTGTGAAAAGCATTGACTGATTGGGTGAGTAGCAACAGGGTTAGGGGTGTGAAAAGCATTGACTGATTGGGTGAGTAGCAACAGGGTTAGGGGTGTGAAAAGCATTGACTGATTGGGTGAGTAGCAACAGGGTTAGGGGTGTGAAAAGCATTGACTGATTGGGTGAGTAGCAACAGGGTTAGGGGTGTGAAAAGCATTGACTGATTGGGTGAGTAGCAACAGGGTTAGGGGTGTGAAAAGCATTGACTGATTGGGTGAGTAGCAACAGGGTTAGGGGTGTGAAAAGCATTGACTGATTGGGTGAGTAGCAACAGGGTTAGGGGTGTGAAAAGCATTGACTGATTGGGTGAGTAGCAACAGGGTTAGGGGTGTGAAAAGCATTGACTGATTGGGTGAGTAGCAACAGGGTTAGGGGTGTGAAAAGCATTGACTGATTGGGTGAGTAGCAACAGGGTTAGGGGTGTGAAAAGCATTGACTGATTGGGTGAGTAGCAACAGGGTTAGGGGTGTGAAAAGCATTGACTGATTGGGTGAGTAGCAACAGGGTTAGGGGTGTGAAAAGCATTGACTGATTGGGTGAGTAGCAACAGGGTTAGGGGTGTGAAAAGCATTGACTGATTGGGTGAGTAGCAACAGGGTTAGGGGTGTGAAAAGCATTGACTGATTGGGTGAGTAGCAACAGGGTTAGGGGTGTGAAAAGCATTGACTGATTGGGTGAGTAGCAACAGGGTTAGGGGTGTGAAAAGCATTGACTGATTGGGTGAGTAGCAACAGGGTTAGGGGTGTGAAAAGCATTGACTGATTGGGTGAGTAGCAACAGGGTTAGGGGTGTGAAAAGCATTGACTGATTGGGTGAGTAGCAACAGGGTTAGGGGTGTGAAAAGCATTGACTGATTGGGTGAGTAGCAACAGGGTTAGGGGTGTGAAAAGCATTGACTGATTGGGTGAGTAGCAACAGGGTTAGGGGTGTGAAAAGCATTGACTGATTGGGTGAGTAGCAACAGGGTTAGGGGTGTGAAAAGCATTGACTGATTGGGTGAGTAGCAACAGGGTTAGGGGTGTGAAAAGCATTGACTGATTGGGTGAGTAGCAACAGGGTTAGGGGTGTGAAAAGCATTGACTGATTGGGTGAGTAGCAACAGGGTTAGGGGTGTGAAAAGCATTGACTGATTGGGTGAGTAGCAACAGGGTTAGGGGTGTGAAAAGCATTGACTGATTGGGTGAGTAGCAACAGGGTTAGGGGTGTGAAAAGCATTGACTGATTGGGTGAGTAGCAACAGGGTTAGGGGTGTGAAAAGCATTGACTGATTGGGTGAGTAGCAACAGGGTTAGGGGTGTGAAAAGCATTGACTGATTGGGTGAGTAGCAACAGGGTTAGGGGTGTGAAAAGCATTGACTGATTGGGTGAGTAGCAACAGGGTTAGGGGTGTGAAAAGCATTGACTGATTGGGTGAGTAGCAACAGGGTTAGGGGTGTGAAAAGCATTGACTGATTGGGTGAGTAGCAACAGGGTTAGGGGTGTGAAAAGCATTGACTGATTGGGTGAGTAGCAACAGGGTTAGGGGTGTGAAAAGCATTGACTGATTGGGTGAGTAGCAACAGGGTTAGGGGTGTGAAAAGCATTGACTGATTGGGTGAGTAGCAACAGGGTTAGGGGTGTGAAAAGCATTGACTGATTGGGTGAGTAGCAACAGGGTTAGGGGTGTGAAAAGCATTGACTGATTGGGTGAGTAGCAACAGGGTTAGGGGTGTGAAAAGCATTGACTGATTGGGTGAGTAGCAACAGGGTTAGGGGTGTGAAAAGCATTGACTGATTGGGTGAGTAGCAACAGGGTTAGGGGTGTGAAAAGCATTGACTGATTGGGTGAGTAGCAACAGGGTTAGGGGTGTGAAAAGCATTGACTGATTGGGTGAGTAGCAACAGGGTTAGGGGTGTGAAAAGCATTGACTGATTGGGTGAGTAGCAACAGGGTTAGGGGTGTGAAAAGCATTGACTGATTGGGTGAGTAGCAACAGGGTTAGGGGTGTGAAAAGCATTGACTGATTGGGTGAGTAGCAACAGGGTTAGGGGTGTGAAAAGCATTGACTGATTGGGTGAGTAGCAACAGGGTTAGGGGTGTGAAAAGCATTGACTGATTGGGTGAGTAGCAACAGGGTTAGGGGTGTGAAAAGCATTGACTGATTGGGTGAGTAGCAACAGGGTTAGGGGTGTGAAAAGCATTGACTGATTGGGTGAGTAGCAACAGGGTTAGGGGTGTGAAAAGCATTGACTGATTGGGTGAGTAGCAACAGGGTTAGGGGTGTGAAAAGCATTGACTGATTGGGTGAGTAGCAACAGGGTTAGGGGTGTGAAAAGCATTGACTGATTGGGTGAGTAGCAACAGGGTTAGGGGTGTGAAAAGCATTGACTGATTGGGTGAGTAGCAACAGGGTTAGGGGTGTGAAAAGCATTGACTGATTGGGTGAGTAGCAACAGGGTTAGGGGTGTGAAAAGCATTGACTGATTGGGTGAGTAGCAACAGGGTTAGGGGTGTGAAAAGCATTGACTGATTGGGTGAGTAGCAACAGGGTTAGGGGTGTGAAAAGCATTGACTGATTGGGTGAGTAGCAACAGGGTTAGGGGTGTGAAAAGCATTGACTGATTGGGTGAGTAGCAACAGGGTTAGGGGTGTGAAAAGCATTGACTGATTGGGTGAGTAGCAACAGGGTTAGGGGTGTGAAAAGCATTGACTGATTGGGTGAGTAGCAACAGGGTTAGGGGTGTGAAAAGCATTGACTGATTGGGTGAGTAGCAACAGGGTTAGGGGTGTGAAAAGCATTGACTGATTGGGTGAGTAGCAACAGGGTTAGGGGTGTGAAAAGCATT